TTAAAAGAGATGAAGTCTTGCTCTGTTGCCCAGGCTGGTAGGCTGATCTCAAACTCCTGGCTTCAGGTGATCCTCCTGCCTTGGCCTCCCAAAGTGCTGTTGTTACAGGCATAAGCCATCACACCTGGCTATTTTTCACGCTTTTAAAACTCAGTTTATTCATTCATTTATTCACTCATTCTTTGGTTAATAATACTCATATACTGGTTTATTTTATTATTTTATTATGTTATATTTTTAAATACAGCGTCTCACTCTGTGCCCCAGGCTGGAGTGCAGTGGCATGATCATGACTCTGCAACCCCAAACTCCTGGGCTCAAGGGATCCTCCCATCTCAGCCTCCCAAGAACTTAGGATTACAGGCACATACTACCACACCCTGCTAATTTTTTAAAATTAATTAATTTTTTTCTTTTTTTTTTTTTTTTTGTAGAACCAGTGTGTGTTAGGCCGTTCTTGCATTACTATAAAGAAATACCTGAGACTGGGTAATTTATTAAGAAAAGAGGTTTAGTTGACTCACGATTTCACAGACTGTATAGGAAGTGTGGCGCTAGGCATCTGCTCAGCTTCTAGGGAGGCCTCAGGGAGCTTTTACTCATGCTGGAAGGTGAAGGTGGAGCAGGTGTGTCACCTGGTAAAGACAGGAGCAAGGGTGGGGGGAGGTGCCACACCCTTAAACAACCAGATTTCTCAAGAACTCACTTATTATGATGGGGATAGCTACAAGGCTTGAGGGATCTGCCCCCATGACCAAAACACCTCCCACCAGGCCCCACCTCCAACACTGGAGATTAAATTTCCACATGCGATTTGGACAGGGATAAATATCCAGACTATATCATTTTGCCCCTGGCCCTCCCAAATCTCATGTCCTTCTCAAGTTGCAGAATACAATCATGCCTTCCCAAGAGTTCACCAAAGTCTTAACTCATTCCAGTGTTAACTGAAAAGCCCAAAATTCAAAGTCTCATCTGAGACAAGGCAAGTCTCTTCCACCTATGAGCCTATAAAATCAAAAACAAGCTATTTACTTCCAAGTTACAATGGATGTATAGGCATTGGGGAAACGCGCCCATTCCAAAAGAGAAATTGGCCAAAAGAAAGGGGCTACAAGCTCCATACAAATTCAAAACCCAGCAGGGCAATTATTAAATTATAAAGCTCCAGAGTAATCTCCTTTGACTCCATGTCCCATATCCAGGGCTCACTGGTGCAAGGAGTGGGCTCCCAAGGCCTTGGGAAGCTCCGCCCCTGTAGTTTGCATAGTACGGCCTCTACAGCTGCTCTTATGGGCTGGAGTTGAGCGCCTGTGGCTTTTCCAGGCACAGGGTGCAAGCTGTCAGTGGATCTATCATTCTTAGGTCTGGAGGGTGGTGACCCCTTTCTCACAGCTCCACCAGGCAGTTCCCCAGTGGAGACTGTGTGGAGCCTCCAACCCCACATTTCCCCTCCAAACTGCCCTAGTAGAGGTTCTCTGTGAGGGTTCCACCCCTGCAGCAGGCTTCTGCCTGCTGGGCACCCTGGCTTTCTCATACATCCTCTGAAATCTAGGTAGAGGCTGCCAAGCCTCCTTCACTCTTACAGTCTGCATGACTGCAGGCTTAACACCACATGGAAGCTGCCAAAGCATATGGCTTGTGTCCTTTGGAGCAGCAGCCTGAGCTGTGCCTGGGGCCGCTTGAGCCACAGCTGGAGCTGGAACAGTCTGGATGTGGGGAGCACTGTCCCAAGGAGGCTGTGCAGAGCCATGGGGCCCTAGGCCTGGCCCACAAAACGATTCTTCCCTCCTAGGTCTCTGGGCCTGTGCCTGTGATGGCAAGGGCTGCCCCTTAGATCTCTGAAATGCCTTCAAAGCCTTTTTCCCATTGTCTTAGCTATTAGTACCTGGCTCTCTTTTAGTTACTCAAATTTCTCTAGCAAGTGGTTGCCCCACAGCCTGCTAGAATTCCTCTACTGAAAATACTTCTTTCTCTGTCACATGGCCAGGCTGCAAATTTTCTAAACTTTTACACTCTGCTTCCCCTTTAAATATAACTTCTAACTTTAAGTCATTTTTTTGCTCTCACATCTGAGTTAGGCAGTTAGATGCAGCCATGTCGCTTCTTGAACACTTTGCTGCTTAGAAATTTCCTCTGCCAGATACCCTAGGTTGTCACTCTGAAGTTCAAACTTTCATAGGTCCCCACAGCATGAACAAAGTGCAGCCAAGTTCTTTGCTAGGGCATAATGAGGGTGACCTTTGCTCCATTTCTAGGTTCCTCATTTCCATCTGAGACCTCGTCAACCACGCCTTCACTTTCCATATCACCATCAGCATTCTGGTTACAACCATTTGACCAGCCAAGCACTATTCTAACTTCTGGGAATACAGAAGTGCTCCTCATGGAACTTAACAGTCTAGTGGAGGAAGAAGGACAATAAATGCAACAAAGAAGTAAATTAGTCAGGATGTCAGAGAGTGGTAAGTCCCATGGAGAAAAATGAAGCAGGGATGCATAAAGTTAGTTCAGAGAGAGAACAGGATACAATTTTAAATAGTGTCATCAGATAAGGGTTTATTAAGAAGGTGGCATTTAGGCCAAGACATGAAGGAAGTAAGAGAGCAAGCTATGTAGATAGCTGGGAAGAGCATTCCTAGGAAGAGGGAACACGTATCTAATAGAGAAGCATGTCTGGTATGTTCAAAGAATAGCAAAGCCTTGGTAGCCTTAATGAAGAAAGCAATGGAGAGAGTAATAAGAGATGAAATCAGCGAGCTAAAGGAGGGCATGAAGATTAGAGTAGGGCCCTATAAACTGAGTGACCACTGTCAAGTGAAATTAAGGCTGTTGAGGCAGAAATGATTTGATAAAGGTTTATTGTAAGCCAAATGTGAGGATAAGCCCAGGAAAACATACCAACAAAGTTGGGAGTGTTCTGGAGTCTGTTACAAGTTGGAAAGCTTTAATAGGAAAGTTAGAAGAAAGGAGGGGGACTCTTCATACAGGAGTTTTCCTTTTTCATTGGAGGGTACAATACAAAGGTTACAATAATTGGCTACAGTTTGCAACATGAAGACTAAAATGTCTACATGCAAGACAATCAATAAAACCTTATGACTCAGAAATAAATCAGTGTCCTTTTCAGTGTCAGTAGGTGGTGCATTGATCAGTACATCAACAATTTGAGGAACTCATAAGATTCCTTACTCAGGACAAGGTATCACCATGAATCACAAGACCTTCCCAAGATGGGTTAATTTGGAAGCTGTTTACTTTTAAAGTAAACTGTCAAATGTGACCTGTAGGTTATTGCCATATATAATTTGTCATCCAAACTGGAAGACTTCTAGAATGAAAGGTGGAGGTGAGGGTTATTAATAATTAGCACTAGGGCTGGGCGCGGTGGCTCACGCTTGTAATCCCAGTACTTTGGGAGGCCGAGGCAGGCAGATCACGAGGTGAGGAGATTGAGACCATCCTGGCCAACATGGGGAAACCCCGTCTCTACTAAAAATACAAAAATTACCTGGGCATAGTGGTGTGCGCCTATAGTCCCAGCTACTCGGGAGGCTGAGGCAGGAGAATCGCTTGAACAGGGAGTTGGAGGTTGCAGTGAGCCGAGATCGTGCCACTGTACTCCAGCCTGGCAACAGAGTGAGATTCCGTCTCAAAAAAAAAAAAAATTAATACTAATTCAGTGGAGAGAAGCCAGGGCTGTCCTGGACAAACTCTGACATGTAATCATTCTACTTATGGACCATTGTAAGGACTTGGGCTTTTAAAAAATCTGACTGAGATGGGAAGCGATTGGAAGGTTTTGAGCAGAAAAGTAACATGATATAATTGAGATAGCCCTGACTACTATGCTGAAAGTAGATTGAAGGGGCGTAGGAGCAGCCTTAATGAGGAAGGATTGGCTGGGGTCTAACAGAATACAGGCAAGAAACTGGATTCTACATATGTTGAAATTATGGCAAAAGACTTTATTGACAGATTGGATGTGGAGTACGAGAGGAAGAGCAGCCAGGAAAATAAAGTTCCCATTTTCTGAGTTGGGAAGGACTTCAGGAAAAGCAGATTTGGGATGAAATTAGGAGCACATGTTAAATTTGACATGTTATGTTTGAGACACCTATTACGTATCCAAGTGAGGATATCGAGTGGGCAGTTATTATGTGAGCCTGGAGTTCACTTCTCTCTATGTATTGGTGTTCATCAATGCAGAGATGATATTTAAACCATGAGACTGAATTTTTTTAAAAAGGAAGAGGACCGAAGACTAAGTTCTGGGCGCTCCAATTTTAGGCAGTAGCGGAGATGAAGAAAAACCAGCACACTAGATGGTTAAAGAGCAGCCAACAAGGTAAGAGGAAAACCAAGCAAGTGTCATTTTTGTTGGTTTTTTTGATACAGAGTCTCACTCTGTCACCTAGGCTGGAGTGCAGTGACACAATCTCGGCTCACTATAACCTCTGCCTTCTGGGTTCAAGTGTTTTTCTTGCCTCAGCCTCCCAAGTAGCAGGGACTACAGGTGTGTGCCACCATGCCCGGCACAAGTGTCATGTTGTAGAAAGCAGTTCAAGGATGAAAGAGAAATGAGTTTGTCACATGCCTTGAGAGGTCAGGTAAGAGGAGGACTATGAATCAACTATTGAATTCAGAAACATGCAGGTCACTGGGGACCTTGATAGAGGTGCTCTGGTGAAAGGTGAGGGCTAAAGCTTAATTGTAGTGGGGCCAAGTGAAAATTGGAAGAACAAAGTTGAAAGTAGCAAGTAGATATAGCAATCTTCCAAGGAGTTTTGCTGCTAAGGGACAGGGAGATATGGGGCAGGAGCTGACAGCAGAAACTGGATCGAGAGAGAGCTTTTACAGCCTGTTTGCATACTGAATGGGAAAGATCCAGTAGAGAGGGAAAAGATTTATGATGGAGGAATCAGGAGAATTGCTAGAGCAACATCTTTGAGTTGGTAAAGGAGTAGGGGGCAGGGCGGGTAAGGAGTATATAAGGCTGGGGCCGGGCGTGGTGGCTCACACCTATAATCCCAGCACTTTGGGAGGTCGAGGCAGGCCACTCACTTGAGCCCAGGAGTTCAATACTAGCATGGCCAACACGGCAAAAACCTGTCTCTACCAAAAATACAAAAATTAGCTGGGTATGGTGGTGCATGCCTGTAATCTTAGCTACTTGGGAGGTTGAGGCATGAGAATCGTTTGAACCGAGGCAGAGGTTGCAGTGAGCCACTGCACTCCAGTGGGGAGGAGAGACCATTCAGGAGAAACAGGAGAAAAGACAGAGTGTGTGGGTACAGATGGAGTTAGGCTGGTGTATTATGGTGCTTGTAGAGGTTCCCTCCATTGCTTCTATTTTCTAGGTGAAATAGGAAGCCAAGGCACAGCTGAGGGTGAGCATGGGGGAGGAGGTGATGGAGTTCTGAAGAGAAAGAAGGTCTTCCAGGATAGAGAATGAACCAGGACAATTAGGATCCTCTTGAAGTCACTGATGGTCAGTTTAAAGTGAAACCAGTCAGATGGAATATATTTTCCATCTACATTTGGCTATGCAGGTGCTAGAAAGAAGTAGGAGGGAGGTTAGATTTAACCAGCTTTATAGTTCCCCCAAAAGCAAGGCAGATAAGAAAGGGGCAAGGAAGTTGATTATGATGATTAAGCATGGAATTTAAGCTTGCCAAGAAGGGGTATGAGGACATGAGTAAGATGAGAGATAGTGAAAATGTGGACATCTTTGCCAGGTATGGAGCCAAACACAGTATGCATTGTCTCATGTAATATCCACCCAAAGGGGACTGTTATCATCACTCTTTACAGATGAAGAAGCTGAGTTTTAGGGAAGATTATAACTTGCTCGAGGTCACACAGTTGATAGAGAAGGGACACACCCAGTGTCAGGTCCTGGAACACTTGTCTCCAAAGACTATGTACTTAGCCCTATTTGCTTTAACTGCAGTATTACTGAGCATTAAAAAAAATTGATGACTATGTACAAAGGATGGTAATTTTGTCCAATATGTTTTTGTTAATATTTTTCCAACTTGTGTTAATTTTAAGATTTTCTGTTGTACAGAATTCTTTAAAAGTTTATAGTAAAATATATCTTATCTTCAATTTCCTATTCATCTTAAAATTAAGTATCACCTATATTTTCTTCTAGCTTTTGATTTATTTATTCTTGGCTCTATTTTATTTACATTTATTACATTTGGCTCTTTAGTTGATCAGGAATTAATTTGGTGTGTGATTTATGGTAAGATACTATTTATTCCCCCAGTTTTTCCATTTTTACCAGTTTTTTAGCTTGTCAGTTGTCCCAGCACCAGTCTTCAACAATGTATCATTTTCTTGATAATTTATAATTCACCTTTATCATATGTTACAATTTTTTCACACTTGGGTCTGTTTCTGCCATACCTCTTCTATTTTGTTGATAGATTTATCTTTCCCGTGTGTGTGTGTGTGTGTGTGTGTGTGTGTGTGTGTTTTCCAGGAAACACATTGTGATTCCAGGAAAATCATTGTGTGTTTTTATATATGTGAGAGAACATTTCCCCTTATCACTGATCTTTTCCAAAAATTTCTTAAGCATATTACATATTTGTTCTTTCAGATGCTCGTTACAATTATTTTTTAACTTCTTAAAATATCTCATTGAGGATTCCATTCTAAGATGGCCGAATAGGAACAGCTCTGGTCTGCAGCTCCCAGTGTGATCGGCGCAGAAGACGGGTGATTTCTGCATTTCCAACTGAGGTACCTGGTTCATCTCATTGGGATTGGTTGGACAGTGGGTGCAGCTCATGGAGGGTGAGCCAAAGCAGGGCGGGGCACTGCCTCACCTGGGAAGTGCAAGGAGTCAGGGAATTTCCCTTTCCTAGCCAAGGGAAGCCGTGACAGATGGTACCTGGAAAAACGGGACACTCTCGCCCAAATATTGCACTTTTCCAAAGGTCTTAGCAAACAGCACACCAGGAGATTATATGCCGTATCTGGCTCAGTGCTAATGAGCCTTGCTCACTGCTAGTGCAACAGTCTGAGATTGACCTGCGAGGCAGCAACCTGGCATGGGGAGGGGCATCTGCCATTGCTGAGGTTTGAGTAGGTAAACAAAGTGACTGTGGAAACTCGAACTGGGTGGAGCCCATCACAGCTCAGTGAGGCTGGCTGCCTCTGTAGTTTTCACCTCTAGGGGGCAGGGCATAGCTGAACAAAAGGCAGCAGAAACTTCTGCAGACTTAAACGTCCCTGTCTGACAGCTCTGAAGAGAGCAGTGGTTCTCCCAGTATGGTGTTTGAGCTTGGAGAACAGACAGACTGCCTCCTCAAGTGGGTCCCTGACCCCTGTGTATCCTAACTGGGAGACACCTCCCAGTAGGGGGTGACTGACACCTCATACAGGCAGGTGCCCCTCTGGGACAAAGCTTCTAGAGGAAGGATCAGGCAGCAATATTGGCTGTTCTGCAGTATTTGCTGTTCTGCAACCTCTGCTGGTGATACCCAGGCAAACAGTATCTGGAGAAGACTTCCAGCAAACTCCAAGAGACCTGCAGCTGAGGGACCTCACTGTTAGAAGGAAAACTGATGAACAGAAAAGGAATAGCATCAACATTAACAAAAAGGACAGCCACACCAAAACCCCATCTGTAGGTCACCAACATCAAAGACCAAAGGTAGATAAAACCACAAAGATGGGGAGAAACCAGAGCAGAAAAACTGAAAATTCTAAAAACCATAGCACCTCTTCTCCTCCAAAGGATCGCAGCTCCTCGCCAGCAACGGAACAAACCTGGGTGGAGAATGACTTTGATGAGCTAACAGAAGTAGGCTTCAGAAGGTCAGTAATAACAAACTTCTCCAAGCTAAAGAAGGATGTTCTAACCCATCTCAAGGAAGCTAAAAACCTTGAAAAAAGATAAGACAAATGGCTAACTAGAATAAACAGTGCAGAGAAGACCTTAAATGACTTGATGGAGCTGAAAACCATGGCACAAGAACTTTGTGATGCATGCACAAGCTTCAATAGCCAATTTGATCAAGTGGAAGAAAGGGTATCAGGGATTGAAGATCAAATTAATGAAATAAATCGAGAAGATTAGAGAAAAAAGAGTAAAAGGAAACGAACAAATCCTCCAAGAAATATGGGACTATGTAAAAAGACCAAATCTACATTTGATTGTGTACCTGAAAGTGACGGGGAGAATGGAACCAAGTTGGAAAACACTCTTCAGGCTGTTATCCAGGAGACCTTCCCCAACCTAGCAAAGCAGGCCAACATTCAAATTCAGGAAATACAGAGAACACCACAAAGATACTCCTCTAGAAGAGCAACCCCAAGACACATAATTGTCAGATTCACCAAGGTTGAAATGAAGGAAAAAATGTTAAGGGCAGTCAGAGAGAAAGGCTGGGTTACCCACATAGGGAAGCCCATCAGACAAACAGCGGATCTCTCAGCAGAAACCCTACAAGCCAGAAGAGAGTGGGGGTCAATATTCAACATTCTTAAAGAAAAGAATTTTCAACCCAGAATTTCATATCAAGCCAAACTAAGCTTCATAAGTGAAGAAGAAATAAAATCCTTTACAGACAAGCAAACGCTGAGAGATTTTGTCACCAACAGCCGTGCCTTACATGTTTAATTTAGAAGCACTAAACATGGAGAGGAACAATTGGTACCAGTCACTGCAAAAATATGCCAAATTGTAAAGACCTTCGATGCTATGAAGAAACTGCATCAACTAACAGGCAAAATAACCATCTAACGTCATTTTGACAGGATCAAATTCACACATAACAATATTAACCTTAAATGTAAATGGGCTAAATGCCCCAATTAAAAGACACAGACTGGCAAATTGGATAAAGAGTCAAGACCAATCAGTGTGCTGTATTCAGGAGACCCATCTCATGTGAAGAGACACACATAGGCTCAAAATAAAGGGATGGAGGAAGATCTACCAAGCAAATGGAAAGCAAATAAAAGCAGGGGTTGCAATCCTAGTCTCTGATAAAACAGACTTTAAACCAACAAAGATCAAAAGGGACAAAGAAGGCCATTACATAATGGTAAAGGGATCAATTCAACAAGAAGAACTAACTATCCCAAATATATATGCAACCAATACAGGAGCACCCAGATTCATAAAGCAAGTCCTTAGAGACCTACAAAGAGAGTTAGACTCCCACACAATAATAATGGGAGACTTTAACACCCCACTGTCAATATTAGACAGATCAACGAGACAGAAGGTTAACAAGGATATCCAGGACTTGAACTCAGATCTGCACCAAGCAGACTTAATAGACATCTATAGAACTCTCCACCCCAAATCAACAGAATATACATTCTTCTCAAGCACCACATCACACTTATTCCAAAATTGACCACATCGTTGGAAGTAAAGCACTCCTAAGCAAATGTAAAAGAACAGAAATCACAACAAACTGTCTCTCAGATCACGGTGTAATCAAATTAGAACTCAGGATTAAGAAACTCACTCAAAACCATACAACTACATGGAAACTGAACAACCTGATCCTGAATGACTACTGGGTAAATAATGAAATGCAGGCAGAAATAAAGACGTTCTTTGAAAACAATGAGAACAAAAACACAATGTACCAGAATCTCTGGAACACATTTAAAGCAGTGTATAGAAGGAAATTTATAGCACTAAATGTCCACAAGAGAAAGCAGGAAAGATCTAAAATCGACACCTTTACATCACAGTTAAAAGAACTAGAGAAGCAAGAGTAAACAAATTCAAAAGCTAGCAGAAGGCAAGAAATAACTAAGATCAGAGCAGAACTGAAAGAGATAGAGACATAAAATCCCTTCAAAAAAAAATCAATGAATCCAGGAGCTCGTTTTTTGAAAAGATCAACAAAATTGATAGACCGTTAGCAAGACTAATAAAGAAGAAAAGAGAGAAGAATCAAATAGATGGTATAAAAAATGATAAAGGGGTATCACCACCAATCCCACAGAAATACAAACTACCATCAGAGAATACTATAAACACCTCTATGCAAATAAACTAGAAACTCTGGAAGAAATGGATAAATTCCTGGACACATACACCCTCCCAAGACTAAACCAGGAAGAAGTTGAATCTCTGAATATACCAATAACTGGCTCTGAAATTGAGGCAATAATTAATAGCCTACCAACCAAAAAAAGGCCAGGACCAGACAGATTCACAGCCAAATTCTACCAGAGGTACAAAGAGGAGCTGGTACCATTCCTTCTGAAACTATTCCCATCAATAGAAAAGAGGGAATCCTCCCTAACTCATTTTATGAGGCCAGCATCATCCTGATACCAAAGCCTGGCAGAGACACAGCAAAGAAAGAGAATTTTAGACCAATATCCCTGATGAACATCGATGCGAAAATCCTCAATAAAATACTGGCAAACTGAATCCAGCAGCACATCAAAAACCTCATCCACCACGATCAAGTCGGCTTCATCCCTGGGATGCAAAGCTGTTTCAACATATGCAAATCAATGAACGTAGTCCATCATGTAAACAGAACCAAAGACAAAAACTGCGTGATTATCTCAATAGATGCAGAAAAGGCCTTCGACAAAATTCAAAAGCCCTTCATGCTAAAAACTGTCAATGAACTAGGTGTTGATGGAATGTATCTCAAAATAATAAGAGCTATTTATGACAAACCTACCGCCAATATCATGCAGAATGGGCTAAAGCTGTTGACCTGATAGATACAGGTTCAAGAGGATACAGCTGAATACCGTGCTTAGGAAAAGAACAGTTTCAAAGGCTTTCCATATTGTCAGATTTGATGATTTCCTCCTTGGTGCACATCTCTCTTGGCTGTGAGGCACATAAACAACCTCTATCAATCTAACTGGTTTGTGCATTTTTTCTGATTTTATATCTACTAGCAAAATATATCTTAAGCCATTTTTAGGAAACAGGAGATTTAGTCACATGCTCAACAAGAGCACAACAAATGGGGACCATTTAATGGTGTAAGGGCTGTGAGGTATAGCTGCTGAAACTGTAGCTAGGAGCTGCCTTGCTGCCTTCTTGCAGGCAGATTGGCCAGATGAGCCAGGCTAAAATACAATTAACATCTGCCATTGTGGTATAATATGAAATATGGATACCTGGTCTTTGTCTCAGTTCTTGTCATAGAGTTCCCCAAACCTCTAGAACTTCCTGAGTGGTAGGAGTATCTCATTAGTCATAATGAGCCCCTTGGATTAGATAACTCCTGAGTTTATGCTAATGAGGCTACTTAATGTGGGGCCCTAGGTATTCTTATGATGGGGCTAGTCCCTGGAAAGACCGGTCATTTGAGGAATTAGAGGGTTGGAACTTTCAGCTCTACCCACTGACCTCTGGGTGGGGAAGGTGCTGGAGATCAAGCTCTCTAAAAACTCTTGAACAACAAGATTTGAGGAGCTTCCAGTAAATGTGTCCACAAGCTGGGAGGGCACTGCACCCCAGCTTCACTGGGACAGAAGCTCTTGCACTTAGAATCCTTCCAGACCTAGCCCTACATGCTGCTTCATCTGGCTGTTCATCTGTATCCTTTATAATAAATTGGAAAATGTAAAGGTTTAGCTGAATTTGGTGAGCCTTTCTAGCAAATTAATTGAACCCAAGAAGGGGGCTATAGAAACCCTGGTTTGTAGCTGGTAGGTCAGAGGTGCGTGTGGCTTGGACGTTCGAATGGCATCTGAAGAGGGACAGAGCACACAACCTGTGGGATCTGATACTGTCTCCCGCAGATAGGGTCAGAGCTGAATTCCATTAGAGAGCACCCTGTTGGTATCTGCTGGAGGATTGCTTGGTGTGTGAGGAGCCCCCCACCACATCTGGTCACAGAAGTATTGCGGGTTGAGTGTGACAGTAGAGGGTAAAAAATGGTTTGTTTTTTCCTCTAACAGCCATCAATCCCTCTCAAAGGAGTTTGTAAGGTTTTTTGGATAGGAATGCTGTGTATAATCATTTGGTTCACTTCAGAAACTACTATAATTTTGAATGTGCTGGTTTGCTTCCAAATGTACACACACACACACACACACACACACACACACATTGTTGTCACCTAATATTTGCATTAATAAAATGATGTTATTTTTATTTGGATAGTATTTGTATAATTGGAAACGAGGGTTAATCTTTATATGTATTTTACCAGTCCTTGACTAACATGTTTTCAAGACCTCTTACCAATCCATTTCATCGAATTAATGAGTAAGGAGACTCTCTAGAAATGGTTGGTTTGCAAAGCAAGGACATTATCTGGAAGAATTCTCCAGAGTTTACTGTATGATGAGCATTTCTTGATAGCAAGGTTCATTTTAGTGTCAATCATTACAGTCAGTCCATTTCAGCGGGAACAACGGATTTCTCCACAGAGTCTTATTTATCTGTTTTTCACTTCACCAAATGGGGGAGATATTTTTTCAGAATGCAGTTATTAGAACCTTGGGATTTTCTTCTGTCTCCATTGAGTCTCTTGTTTTTTTCCCAGATCTGAACCTGAAAATAAAATAGATGCTAAAGAAAATTAAATATTCAAGACTTTCCTCCTCAAAACGCTCCAAACTGACATTGAAAAATATTTCTCCAATCAATGAACAAGTAACTCTTTGAACTCTAATGAGAACCTCATAGTGTAGATCTAGTATTTTGAGCTTTTAAACATCTGAGGCCACTTTCTTAATGAAGTATAGAAGCCAGAATTTAAACTCTTTCACAGTTTTCCCAAGCAAATGATAGAGAGGGAGGCATGAAATTCTTGGCAATTAAAGTTGTTACAGAAGTAGTTCTATCATTAGAACAAAACAACTTATCAAAAATGGGCACTTTTTTGCTGTAAATGTTCTGTCAGGGATCAGAATTAATTCACATGCAGAGTTACCTTTATCAAGGCCAGGCACTGAGAACACTTTATGTTTTGTCACCTCAAAATAGCCATATGAAATATCCCATATAGCAGATGGGAATACTGAGGCTTAGTGAATATTAAGTGATATGCCCAAATGTTTGCAGTAGATTTGGGATTTAAGGCCAGGCAGTGTTACTCAAAACTCTAAACTTCTCCTAAATACTACTAATCTTTTAAATGTTGGCTGTGGTGTCATAAAAAGATACTGGTCTTTGTCCCTGGTTCCTGACACGGAGATCCTAAATCTCTTATAATTTCCGGAGTGATAGGGGGTGATAAGAGCTTCTGTTGTTCTAATGAGGCAACCCTTGGCAGGGCCCTTACATAGCTTTAGGGTGGGGGCTGGTCACCAGAAGACCAAGCCTTGATTAGAAACCTGGAAACTCTGGGGAGAGGAGAGAGGCTGGGGATAGACTTAATCCATCATGCCAATGTGACTAAACCTCCATGAAAACCTCTAAATGATGGGGTTTGGAGAGCTTCCGAGTTGGTGACCACATCCATGTGCCAGGAGGGCAGTGCACCTTATTTAACTCCACAGGGACAGAACCTTTGCACTCAGGACCTTTCCAGACCTCTCCACATGTACCTCTTCATCTGGCTGTTCATTTGTATCCTTTATAAGAAACCAGTGTTTCTTATAAAGTGGTCAGTGTTCTGAGTGCTGTGAGTCATTCTAGCAAATAATCAAACCCGAGGAGGGGATTTGTTTGGAACCCCAGATTTGGTAGGAAAGTCAGAGAGAAATGTGGGTAACCTGGGGATCTGACACTTGCGAGTGGCAAGTGAAGCGAGGCAGTATTGTGGGAATGAGTCTTTACACCTATGGAGTCTGATGCTAACTTCAGGTATTGTCAAAATTGAACTGAATTATAGGACACTCAATAGGTGTCAGAATTGGTTCGCGTCAAGAAGAAAAACCCTTGCACAATCTCATAAGCCAAAAAAATGAGGTTGAATTGTTTTATATTTGCATTTCCTTATTAATGTGGACAAATAACTTTTTTCATGTGTATATTGGACCCTGAAGTGACTTCTTCTGTAAACTATCTGTTCTTATCCTTTGCTGGTTTTCCTACTGAACTGTTTGTCTTTTTCTCACTGATTGCTGTGAGCTTTTTGTATATTAGGTATATTAGCCTTACATCTAGATTTTGTGTAGCAAAAATTTTCTCCTGGCTTATTGACTTTTGCCTTTGTGGGTGGTTTCCTTTTGCCTTGCCAATAATTTTAAAAATGTACAATCAGATATATCAATCTGTTCCTTTATGGTTCTTTGATTTTATGTTATGCTCGGTAAGATCTTCTCTAAGGTTATAAAAATGTTAGTTTCCTCCTGGTACATTTATGATTTTACATTTTTAGGCCTAAATTTTTTAACTCTCTGGATTTTATCTTGATGCTTTTTTTTTTTTTGGAGACAGAGTCTTGCTCTGTCACCCAGACTGGAGTGCAGTGGCACGATCTTGGCTCACTGCAACCTCTGTCACCCTGGTTCAAGCGATTCTCCTGCCTCAGCCTCCCAAGTAGCTGGGATTACAGGGGTGCACCACCACGCCTGGCTAATTTTTGTATTTTTGGTAGAGATGGGGTTTCTTCATGTTGGCCAGGCTGGTCTTGAACTCCTGACCTCAAGCAATCTGCCTGCCTCAATCTCCCTAAGTGCTGGGATTACAGGTATGAGCCACTGTGCCCAGCCAATGCATTTTTTTAAGATCCAACTTTTTAATTTATTCAGAATGTCTAGCTGAATGTTCTAATACCTCTTACTGAATAACTATTCCCCCTTGACTTTGCTACTTTTTATTACATAGTGAATTTTTTATTTTCTTAGGTTTTATCCTGAACTCTGTCCCATTCCACTGGTTTCTAGTCCTATACCATTATCACACTGTTTTAGTTACTATTGCTCAACAATATGCTTTATCATTATTATTATTTTTGAGACAGAGTCTCGCTCTGTTGCCCAGTCTGGAGTGCAGTGGCACGATCTTGGCTCACTGCAACCTCCACCTCCTGGGTTCAAGCAATTCTCCTGCCTCAGCCTCATGAGTAGCTGGGACTACAGGCATGCAGCACCACGCCCAGCTAATTTTTGTATTTCAGAGACAGGGTTTCACCATGTTGGCCAGGATGGTCTCGATCTCTTGACCTCATGACCAGCCCACCTCGGCCTCCCAAAGTGTTGGGATTACAGGCATGTGCCACCGTGCCCGGCCTATTATTATTATTATTATTATTATTTGAGATGGAGTTTCGCTCTTGTTGCCCAGGCTGGAGTGCAGTGGTGTGATCTCAGCTCACTGCAACCTCTGCCTCCTGGGTTCAAGCAGTTCTCCTGCCTCAGCGTCCTGAGTAGCTGGGATTACATGTGACTGCCACCGCGCCCGGCTAATTTTTTGTATTTTTATTAGAGACGAGGTTGCACTATGTTGGCCAGGCTGGTCTCAAACTCCTGACCTCAGGTGATCCACCTGCCTCTGCCTCCCAAAGTGCTGGGATTACAGGTGTGAGCCACTGTGCCCAGTCAGCAATATGCTTTATTATCTAATAGAGCTAGTCTCTGCTTATTACTCTTCTCTTTTAGAACCTTCCTAGCTATTCTTCCATGCATATTCTCCCTAAGGCATTTCGGTATCATTTTGTTAAAAGTTCTACTTACCATTTCACTTTCTGCATCTGCTCTAAGGTTTCGGGAAGAGTCATTCCTAAACTTTCAGGGAAAAAAAGGGTGAGAATTCCAATCAGGACAGTCAGACTACCCATGACGATGTAGGGCAGCATTCTGTTGTAAGCACCTATAAAGCACGGGACATAAGAACATCAGTCAGATACAAGGACTCTCTGGGCACTCTTGAGCATCATTTTGTGAAGGTGGTGAACAGTATAAGAGAATGGATTTAAATCTGAATATTTTCAGATAAAAAAAGTAAGCAAAATGTCAGTTTCTTTTTGGCAGATGACAATATGCATTTCTGTTATCCTTTTGCATTATCATAAGGCTTTTCATTCTCTCCTGTCAACTGGTATCCTCTAAGCTACTACTCAGTCATATGTGACAGATGTTCCTTTGGTAGAGTTCTTTGCCTACCAGAGTTATCTTCTTAAGGTAGAGGTAATTGGAAATGGGGGATAGGAGGACATCAAGGAGAAGGAGGTTAACTAGGATGTTTCAGGGATGGGTTTTGGCCATGATAAGTCTGGTGTGACGTCTGCTTTTGCCCAAACTAGTAGGCTGCAGTGGAAAGTTAGGTCCACAGAGCTATGAGACTCAAAAAACAAAACAAAACAAAACAAACAAACAAACAACAACTAAGTATTATTTTCATGCCAGATTAAATCAGTAAACAATAAGTATCAGGCACATTCTGTAAAGGCACTGTGTGCCTGGATTTGGCTTCTTTTTGCAGCACTTACATGTCTTGGGTTAATATGTAATCTCTTCTTTATGAAGCTTTACTCACACAGGAGAACAACAGATTCTCATCTTGCTTTGCCTGTGTATACATACAGAGCTTACAGAGGAACAGCACACCCATGGATTTCATTTGACCCAAAACATAAGGAAAATATTGTTATTGCAGCTTCTCTGAGGCCTCTGTGTCACTAACAGGAGTAGCTATGTGGAGTAAAATGCTCTTGGACTCTATCTTATGTACCAGTGTCTGGCCACTGGACCGTCTGAGCATAGTATGAAAGTACAGGGAAGGACAAAGGGAAAAATAACAGCACTCTGTATAATCTGCTATCTCAGGTGTGGCACAGGGCAACAGTGCAGAATATGTTTAAGTTAGGAAAATGTTTCTCTTTCTCTCTAAGGATTTGAATTATACCTTTCCTGATAATTCATATATGTTCTCAGGTGTGTGTGTGTGTGTGCATGTGTACCAGTAGTTAACCAACTGCCCAATTCATGAGGTGTGTCTGCATTTCTCACCAGTAGAGTCCTTAATGAGGACCAGGCATGGGGTGTCAGATCCTACATCAGATTGAACATGCTACTGAAACACCTGTGTAGTGTTATTTCAGATTGACACCTTTGAGTATATAAAAACTAAAATTGTCTTCATTACAAAGATATCATAAAGTCAAAATACAAATGGTAAACTAGAAAAAATATTTACAACATATATACAAAGGGCTAATTTCTTCCATTGCAAAGAGTTTGTACAAATCAAAAAGAAAAAGATGAATACACCATTAAAGAATGGGCAAAGAAGGCTGGGCGCAGTGGTTCGTGTCTGTAATCTCAGCACTTTGGGAGGCCAAGGTGGGTGGATCTCCTTAGGTCAGGGGTTCGAGACCAGCCTGACCAATATGGTGAAACCCCGTCTCTAATACAAATACAAAAAAAAAAAAAAATTAGCCAGGCATAGTGCATGCACCTGTAGTCCCAGCTATTCAGGAGGTTGAGACAAGAGAATTGCTTGAACCCGGGCAGCGGAGGTTGCAGTGAGCCGAGATTGTGCCACTGCATTCCAGCCTGGGTGACAGAGTGAGACTCTGTCTCAAAAAAAAAAAAAAAAAAAAGGGCAAAGAACATGAGCAGTCAGTTCACTGAAAAATAAATAGAATGGCCAAAAAATACACAAAAACATGCTCAACCTCATTCATAATTAATAAATAGGAATGAAAGTAACAATGATATCCATTTTTCACATAACGGATAACCAATGATTAAAAAATTCGGTAGGCCAGGTGCTGTGGCTCAAGCCTGTAATCCCAGCGCTTTGGGAGGTTGAGGCGGGTGGATCACTTGAGCCCAGGAGTTCAAAACCAGCCTGAGCAACCTGGCAAAATCCTGTCTCTACCAGAAAAAAAAAAAAAAAAAATTAGCTGGGCTTGATGGTGTGCATGCCTATGGTCCCAGCTAGTTGGGAGGCTGAGGTGGGAGGATCTCTTGAGCCTGGGAGATTGAGGCTGCAGTGAGCTGGGAATCTAGGATGGCACCACTACACTTCAGAGTGAGACCCTGTCTCAAAAAAAAAAAAAAAAAAGAATTAGGTAATCTTTATTGTTGGTGAGATTATTGAAAACAACCACTCTTACCTATTAATAATTAAATTATAATTTGGTACAATATGTAGAGTTCAATTTGGGAATATCTATGAAAATTTTTTTTTTTTTTTTTTTTGAGACAGAGTCTCGCTCTGTCGCCCAGGCTGGAGTGCAGTGGCCGGATCTCAGCTCACTGCAAGCTCCGCCGAGTAGCTGGGACTACAGGCGCCCGCCACCTTGCCCGGCTAGTTTTTTGTATTTTTTTAGTAGAGACGGGGTTTCACCGTGTTAGCCAGGATGGTCTCGATCTCCTGACCTCGTGATCCACCTGTCTCGGCCTCCCAAAGTGCTGTGATTACAGGCTTGAGCCACCGCGCCCGGCTCTATGAAATTTTTAACTGCACTCTTTGCTGCAGGAATTTTACTTCTATGAATCTATCTGTAAATCCAAATATATGTAAGTAAATTCACAAAGGGTGTAGGAGCATAGGAGAATGTTCGTTGTAATGTTATTTGTAATAGCAAAAACCTGGAAATGAGCTACATGTCCTCCATTCATTGGAGCCTAGTTAAATAAATTATGTGTTTCAGTATAAAAGTAAGATTTTCATTGTGAAAACGTCAAATAGCATAGAATGTACTGGAAAAAAGTACAAATTCACCTCTCCTCTCCCAGGAGGAGCCCTAGAAAACCAACATGAACTGTTTGGTGAGTTGTGCTACAGACATTTTGTTTTGCACATCATGTACACACGTGTGTGTGTGTGTGTGTGTGTGTGTGTGTGTGTATATATATATAAAATTTTTTAATGGCACTCTTTGCTCCAGGAGTTTTACTTGTATGAATCTATCTGTAGATTATACTTAGGTATACTTATTTTAAAATGTACTTATACACATTTTTAAAAGGAGGTGCCTATTTAAAAAGAAGGTAAAGGAGCAATATGTAACCATTTGGAAGGATATTCTGATACAATGTTAAGTTTAAAAAGTTTCAACATATATAATGTTATTTATGTGTTTATTGTTTTTATTTATTATTATTATTATTATTTTGAGACAGAGTTTCACTCTTGTTGCCCAGGTTGGAGTGCAATGGTGCAATCTTGGCTCACTGCAGCTTCTGCCTCCCGGGTTCAAGCAATTCTCCTGCCTCAGCCTCCAGAGTAGCTGGGATTACAGGCACCTGCCATCACGCCTGGCTAATTTTTGTATTTTTAGTAGAGACAGGGTTTCACCATGTTGGCCAGACTGGTCTCGAACTCCTGGCCTCAGGTGATCCACCCACCTTGGCCTCCCAAAGTGCTGGGATTACATGCATCAGCCACCACGCCCGGCCTGCTTGTGTGTTTAAAAGAGTATATACATACATGCGTACATGGTGTTGTGCAAAACAAAATGTCTGTAGCGCTATTCACCAAACAGTTTGTGGTTGGCTTTCTAGAGCTCCTCCTGGGAAAGAAGAGGTGAACTTGTACGTTTTTTCCAGTACATTCTATGCTATTTGACATTTTCACAATGAAAATCTTACTTTTATATTGAAAACTAATTTAAAGGAAGAACAAATGCACAAGATGCAGCTCACCGAGGTAAACAAAGTAGGGGGCAATGATGCTGCCCACTCTGGAGGCCATGGATGTGACCCCCACTGCCATGTTCCTGACCAGGGTTGGGTAGAGCTCAGCAGTGAAGACATACAGCATGGAGAAAGCAGAGGTGATTCCAAATTTTCCCAGCATGACCAGACCAATGGATAAGAAGTAATAATCTGGAAAAGAGACCCAGTATAAGCAAGGGTGCTTTTAGAAGTGATACTTTCTTGTATCAGTTGTTTTTATTGTCTTTTTTGCTTCAGTGGGAGTATTTTTATTAACATAAATATATTCCCAAAATAGCATGTTCTCTTCCAGTGTCCTAGTATTTGGGCATGGACAAAGATGGAGCATGAGGGGTGGCTTTGTACTTTGTTCTACTGTTATTCTAGGTCATTAATGCATTCAGTGACCTTTGTTGACTTGTCTTTTGTTTGTTACAACAGTTTCATGGGTAAGCTATTAGCATGTTAATATAGTTAAGTTTTATCTTCAAAGAGGAGGACCAATCCTTTCTATCCTGTTTCTTATTACTAAGAAATGTGTATTTCTATTACTATCAATAATTTATTGACATTTTAATATTATGAGAACATCAGAAACAAGGGGAAAAGGGAAGCATATATCCTTTTGTGCGCTATTTAACTACTTAAAGATTCAAACCAGAAAACTACTGAATGTATCCTGGAACCGACATGTCCTTCTCACTGTAATAGTTGAATATACACCCAGGGAAAAGGTTTGAGAGTAGCCAGAAATTAGGAATCATGACTATGAGTTAAAGGGAGATTTTAGGTGAGTCTTTCTGTGAAGGGGATAACTGGAAGAGTTACTTTTCCTCTTTGGTGCTTTCTGCTTCTCTGAGGCTGTCTCTTTTGTTTGGGGTAGTTGTTTTGAACACAGGAAACAACATACGTAGTGAGCAATCACCTGTCTAATTGACTTATGAATGGCTTATGATGTAAAGGCTGAATAAACATGGAGCAGTGACTCAGAAGCAGCCTAGTCAATATGTGGGTCTTTTCTGGTAAGCTGTTCATCTTGGTTAACTTCTTACCCACAGGTACCAGTTGAATGAAGAGAAGCACACCTCCTCCCCAGAACAGTACTGCAGCTATGATATAACGCCTGGGCAGGGTTCGCAATAGCAGCCAGGCTGTAATGTAAGCTGGAATTTCAATCAAAGCAGAGAGGAAACAGTTCAGGTAGGCATCTCCATGTAAATTAGGAGTATCCAGAGACAGAGCAAAGTAACCCACTGAGGTCAGCATCCTGAAAGAAAAAGGGATGTTGTGAATTGCTCTAAAATTTTATGATGGTCAAGAAATTCTCTATATCTTGCTGTCCTATAAGTAGCCACAACCTTGTTGGCTACTTAAATTTAAATAAATTAAAATTAAATAAAACCACAAATTCAGTTCCTTAGTTATGCTAGCCACACTTCAAGTGCTCAATAGCCACGTGTAACTAGTGGCTACTATATTGAACAACACAGATATGAAATATTTCCGTCACTGCAGGAGGTTCTATTGGATAGTGCTAGTCTATATATACCAATATTCAACAATAACTTTTCTCAGGTAGTTGATTTCAAGTTTTCCTATTTCCTGAATAGTTTGTACCTCCTCAGTCTCTTAGAGCTATTATTTGAAGAAAAAATATTAGTCACATCAGTGAACATAAAATCCAGATTTCATTCTTTAACAAAAAAGAGATACAAGGGTCATACTGTGGGATTCACTTAGAATAAATTCCGATTCTCTTTAGGGAAAAGAGTGAATGTCCCCTAATGCTTCAAATTATCATAGAGTGCAGCCTGTATATTCTGTCATTATAGTTAACTTTCATGCAGAAGCTTCTCTGTGGGCCGTGTGTGGTGGCTCATGCCTGAAATCCCAGCACTTTGGGAGACTGAGGCAGGCAAATCACCTGAGGTCAGAAGTTTGAGACCAGCCTGGCCAACATGGTGAAACTTCGTCCCTACTTAAAAGACAAAAATTAGCCAGGCGTGGTGGTGGCATGTGCCTATAATCCGAGCTACTTGGGAGGCTGAGACAGGAGAATAACTTGAACTTGGGAGGCGAAGGTTGCAGTGAGCTGAGATCGCGCCATTGCACTCCAGCCTGGGCGACAGAGCTAAACTCCATCTCAAAATAATAATAATAATAATAATAATAATAATTAATAAAAGAAGCTTCTCTGTGGAAAAAATAACTGTGTAACTGAGTACCCCCATTTTTCTAAGGGATAGTTTATTTTCTCTCTCTCTTCTTTTCTCTTTCCTCCTTTTCCCCACTTTCTACTTACCTCTTTAGAAGTGCAATTAAAGCCTTTTAACCTCCTCTTCACTAGACACTCCCTGCAGGGCAAGTTCATCTAACTATGTGCTTAGAAGATCCAGAGTGGAACTCTCACCCCCCAGATTTCCTCAAGCGATATCAGTCAATTTCCAACCTAAAGTATGCCTGCTAGAGTTTTTGGCCACCTATACAACCTGTTTCTGCCCATGAAGGCGCCAACTCAGCTGCCCAGTAGATAAGGCAGCAAGCTAGTCCTCTGAGCCCTCACCTGCTTGCATCCTCCCCTGCCTTTTAGAAGTGCCTGCTTTCCACTTCAAAAAGAGAAGCGGTACCCTTTAGGCAGGAAGCCGATACCCTTCTCCCTAAGCTAGATTTGGAATAAAAAGTCACTTTCGTTACATCAGACCTTGCTCTTGTTAATTGGATGCCACAAGCTATGAGTGACTGAACCTGAGTTTCTGTTACAACTGCACTATGCAGACGCCCCTGTGTAGAAATTTGCTTATTATTAACATGACTGAGAAGCAGAGGATATCTGAAAAATGATTTCAGGAACACTGGTGGATCTTTTTACACATACTAGACCCAAATTAGATAATGCAAGGACTAATTCATAAACAAAACAAATAATTAAACTTTACTGCTCAAGGGATTTTAGTGATTTTCCCATTTAGTAATAGGAGCAGCTTAGATAGAACTAGTGACTAATTTTTTATTAGCTTAGTAGCATCACTGCCCAAGAGCATTTGCATCAGGGATATATATATGCTGAAATGTCAGAACTAAGAAGGCCGTGTACCTAGGACAGACTTGCTTAATTCAGAGGCAGAAGCTCTGTCATTGATCTCTTCTAATTGCCAAGTAAGATGGCCCTTAAAAATAAACTTAGATTAGCTGCAGCCTAAATCTGCCAGTTCTGACGATCATCGTGTGTGCGTGTGTGTGCTGCCATCATAGGGTAGGAATTTTCTTTTTTCTTTTTCTTTTTTTTCTTGGCAGATAAATTATTAAATCTAATCTATAAAGCCAATTCACTATTTCTGTGCCTGAAAGCCACTTGTTAGTTTGCTATTGGCACGTATAAGAAGCTTATCAAGGCTCCAATCCAGGCAATGGGGATCTAGGTTATTCTAGCCTCACTGTTCAATTGCCAGGTCAGCTTCAGGAAGCAGGAGCTGGATTAGTATCTCTGCCTCAGGCACCAGGGACATCATTAGTCTTAATCTCATAATTTTTGGTGGGGAGGGAACCCTTACCCAGGGACATCAATGATCTCAATCCCATAACTTTAGGAGGGGGAAAGGGAATGCTTTCCCTTTGGGCCCCACTACTGCAGACTTAAATACTGTACCCTGTGCCTTTTTTTTTTTTTTTTTAAGATGGAGTCTTGCTCTGTCGCCTAGGCTAGAGTGCAGTAGTGTGATCTAGGCTCACTGGAACCTCCACCTCCTGGGTTCAAGGGATTCTCCTGCCTCAGCCTCCCAAGTAGCTGAGATTACAGGTATGCGCCACCATGCCCAGCTGATTTTTGTATTTTTAGTAGAGACAGGGTTTCACCATGTTGGCCAGATTGGTCTTGAACTCCTGACCTCAGGTGATCTGCCCACCTTGGCCTCCCAAAGTGCTGGGATTACACGCGTGAGCCACTGCACCCAGTGACATTTTTTCAGTATCTAGTCCCGTGAACTGAATCGAGGCATTTCAAAATAATTTAGAACTTTATACTCTTAATTTTTCCCAGGAAAACCCAGGCGTTGCCATAATGTTCCTCTGAGTTAAAGAAAATCAGTTGCATACTTATGTGCTGGATGTCTGCATTTCCAGGTCACTTATTACTTACCATAGCAGCAAAGACATAATGGTCATTATGGCAATATTCCAAGTTCTGAATAGGTCCAGAATGAAAGCTTTCTGCTGCTTCAGGGGATTTAGCTCCTGTAAGCAAAATAATGCAAATAACCATGAGATTAAGAGGTAGTAAGGAAGTATCTTTGGCTATGATGCATGGGGAAAACTTATGCATGCAACTCTCACTTCACCTTGACTATGCTTAGAAGTCTGGGAATTGGAGGCAATAGGGCATCTACATATATGATGCTTATTCTGACACTTTAAAATGTTTGCAGACCATTTTACACAGAAGCCTTTTAAATATATAACACCCACTTCCCTGTCTTGTTATACAAAGCCTGTTGTCTAATATAGCCTTTCTCTGACTGACAGTCAGAGAATGGATGTCCTTTACCACACTGATCTGTGATCCTCAGGACTGCCTATTGAAGGGTAGGGCCATGTAGTCCCTTCCTTGAGGCCATGTCTGCTTTTTACACTTCTCTGTTTATTTGCTTATTTGTTTTTTTTAGATGGAGTCTTGCCCTGTGGCCCAGGCTGGAGTGCAGTGGCGTGATCTCAGCTCACTGCAACCTCCACCTCCCAGGTTCAAGTGACTCTCCTGCCTCTCAGTCTTTAGCTTACTGCTCTATAAAATGGGTATATTAATTGGGAGTTGAGAGACTAAATGAGATCATATATATATATGTAACATATGATCCATATATATATATATGAGCCATATATATATATGGCTTAGCACAGTGCTTGAACCATGGTAAATGTCCAATAAATTTAAACTATTATTATTATTATTACTGTATCATTGAGGAAAAGAGGCTAGCCATCAGTGGTCAGTGACAAATCATTACTGCTGTTGATGAGCTTATACTCTTTTACTTTTATTTATATTTATTTATTTACTTACTTGTTTGTTTTTTGAGAGGGAGTTTCACTCTTGTCGCCCAGGTTGGAGTGCAGTGGCGCGATTTCAGCTCACTGCAACCTCCGCCTCCCAGGTTCAAGCAATTCTCCTGCCGTAGCCTCCTGAGTAGCTGAGATTACAGGCACCCACCACCACACCCGACTAATTTTTGTATTTTTAGTAGAGATGAGGTTTCGCCATATTGGCCAGGCTGGTCTCAAACTCCTGACTTTAGGTGATCCATCTACCTCAGCTTCCCAAAGTGCTGGGATTACAGGTGTGAGCAACTGCACCCGGCCTATTCTTTTGCTTTTAATTTGCTGATATTAACTTGCCATGAGTTATGAATCAAGGTAACCAAGCTGATTAGAATTGAAACTAACATAAAAATTATTAGGCTCTGAGGTGGGGAAATCTCTTAAGGATGAAGTACCAGGACTTTGTGACTCTGTGGCCCTACAGTGCATGTGCAGTAAGAGACTGAGGGAGGAATTTCTATTATGAAGAAGTGAGAGTGCCAGGCCTGCCTTCACAGCAGGCGCTCTCCAAATGTGAGTGTCCTTCTTTCTAGTAATGAGCAGACACTTACACAGCTCACAGCCACATTGCCTTTTCTCTACTGCACTATTTGGATTGTAGAGCCCCAGAACATGGGCCCCAGCAGAATAACCCTGGTACTACAACAAAGCAAAGCCCCTGCATAAACTAGTGGGAACTAGACATCCTCTTGGAGGGTTCTGGGGTGGTGCACACAGACAGGACCTGTGGACCAGGCCTGTGCTAACACTTGGTGGTTCCACGGGGCCCTTCTCAAATGCAGGTTGCCAGGTTCCTCCCTGGGCTTGCCTACTTCGACTCTTTTAAACAGAGGCCTGAGAATCTGTATTCTTAAAGCACTTGGGTGATTGTGATGAGCAGCCAGGATTGGAAACCTCAGAACGAGAATATCCTTATATCCAGTGGTTGTCCCTGGCTGGGGTGGAGCCACCAAAATGTCTTTGGATCAGGTACCAGGAGCAGGTTGAAGGTGCTTCTTCTGAAGCCAAGGATGCTTGAGATTGCTTTCTAAGACAATGCTCTACTCTATATCTTTTCCTGTCTAAGTTAATGCTACTGCCTCTAACATGAAGTGAAAAATCACAGTTGTTAAGAGCACATGCTTTGGTGCTTGGGAGAACTAGGTCACAAATCCCAGTTTAACGTCTGTGTGATCCTGGGCAAGTTCCTTAACTTCAGTGTGCCTTAGTTTCTTTTTTTGGGGGGGAAAAAAAAAAAAGCATGGGCATTAAATGAGCAGAACACAGTGCCTGGCATTTGGTAGGCTCTTCAATATCATTCTAAATAGGGTGCAATTGCTGGCACAGGGCTCTGCAGATCCTCCTAAAGAGGATCCTACAGGAGGTGAGCAGGGGAGATGACCAGGCCTCAGGAAAGCGCAAGCCCCCTTTCCCTTAATGGGTTTGTCCAGTTCAGGCTAGATGTGCATCATGGCAGGAAGAAAGAAGGCACTGTCAGGCTGAGGATGGTGGCTCACATCTGTAATCCTAGCACTTTGGGAGGCGGAGGCAGGAGGATTGCTTGAGCCCAGGAGTTTGAGACCAGCCTGGGCAACATAGTGAAACCCTGTCTCCACAAAAAAAATACAAAAAGTTAGCTGGGTTTGGTGGCAATTGCCTATAGTCCCAGCTTGGGAGGTTGAGGTGGGAGGATTGCTTGAGCCCAGAAGGTTGAGGCTACAGTGAGCTGTAATTGCACTACTGCACTCCAGCCTGGGCAACACAGTGAGACTCAAAAATTTTTTTAAGTGTATATATATATGTATATAGATACACATACACACACACATATGTACATATTTATATATGTGTATGTGTGTATGTGTATCTATATATATATAAAGGCACTACCAGAACCATATGTTTTAACACTGAACTATATTCTTATTTGTCCATAACTATGTATCTCATATCTATTTTATGATTGCTTTCATCCATGTAGGTAAATCCCTATAACTAGAATGTAAGTTTCACAGATAGGAATCAGGCCACCTAGCTGATAAATACCAATAAACACCCAGCACAGTCGCGAAGGGCAGAAGTGTTAGACACTCTCAATGTTGTTGTTGTTGTTGTTGTTGTTGTTGTTGTTTTATCCATTTAAATTGACTGAGATTTGAAATGGACTTCTTGACTTGAAGGGCAAAGGATTAAGGGATGTTTTGTCCTGGCAGCCCTCTGAGAGCTTGAATTCATGGCCACTCTAAGCCTCTAGCCATAGCTAGAGTATCTGCTTCTGGAAAAGGTCCTGAAGGCCAGGGATCGGGGAAGCCCTCAGGGTGAGCAGTGGCATGCCCACCGTCCTCTACAGAGTTCTGCTTTCCACACTACATGCTTTGGTGCAGGGCATGCATAATGCTACTGAAGCCACCATAGTCTTCTTTAGGTGTCCTGAGCAGACTGTTACCTATCTCCTAGCCAGGAATGCCCTGCCCCATCCTCTCCACTCATTTAAATGAGTCCTGCTGTCCTCCCTGGCTTGGACCTGCCTCCAGCCATGGGCCACCCTGCTCTCTTTCTCTGTATTGCTAGCACACAGTGTCTCTTCTTAGATACTTACCCTTTCTTCCCTTATGCCATTCTTTATCTTTTTATCTAATCCTCTTGCCCATCTTAGTTACATTCTATGTTCCTTTAGAATTGGGGCTGTGTCTTATTTTTCTTATTTCCTCTAGGAGCCAGCACAGGGCATGGCACACTGCATATCCTCACGAACTGTCAGGAGATGTGGCTGCTTCCACAGGATATCAGCTTTTCCTTGTGGTCACCACCTTTCAAGTGTGTGCTTTCAGGCCTTAAGGTTCCAGACATGACACAGAGCAAGACTAAAGACATGCATAGCTTCCTCAGCAGTCTGTGGTAAGATTCAGGGTACAGTGGAGAACCCAGAGTGGACTAACCCTGAAACATATTTTTTCCACTTAATCTGGACATTTAAAAATCATCAGTACATAGCTGTGTCAGTGGTTTGGAGCAATGCCAATAGAAAGTTGATGATAAACTTGCAAAATAAAGGGAACTAGTATTTAATGAACACTTGCTATTTGCTAAGCAGTTTACATATATTATTGCATTTAATTCTTATAAACAGCCCTTTAAGGTGGATTTTATCTTAGAATTTAATCATGATTGTGTTCCTAAGGCATAGTGCAATGCCTGGTACATAGTCGGCACTTAACAAATATTGAATTAAGTTAAATTTCATAAAATCAAGAATGCATAGCTGATCTCAAGAGGAAACATCTGCAAATGCTTACCTCCACAGAATCAAATATCACTGCTGGTACAGCTATGTTGTTCATTTTTGCAGCTTTTTGGATGATATCTTCAGCCTCTCTAAATCTTCTCTGGGATATCAGCCATCGGGGAGATTCAGGAATGAACCTATAATTTATTTGTAATATTTAATAATTTTTCACAACAGCAGGGTTGGATACTATTAAATCTCAGTTTTCCCCAGATAGTTGTAATTTTGTAGAATTCTAGTTTGTCTTTTTAAAGGGAGTCCACATAAGATTTCTATTGGAGCATAGGAATAAATAAAAGCACCTTCAAGTTTCAAACTTCTGATCAAATTATAAGACTGATCATCAGTTGTGCTTGAGACCAGGACCAGACGATAAGGGGTGACATTAACTATGGGCATGTTTGAGCCAGGACATCTGGAGAAGTTCATCCAAAACTTATAGGCATTGTGGCTCATAAAAGAAATGTAGCTACTAGACTGTAAGTTCCCCTAGAGAAGAGACTGTCTTTGCAGTGGGTCCCTCCTAAGGAGAATTGCTGGTGTCCCAGCTGGTGACATTCACAATTTATTGGGAAAAGGATGGCCAGGGCATCTGTGTTCTTGATCTTTTCCTTTAGTCAAAAGAGAAGGTGGGGGCACTGACACCTGCCTGTGTGGGGTCCCCATGGCTTTCAACAGATTCCCAGATCAGCGAGTGCCCAAACCAGTTTTTGCGAGATGAGCCCCAATGTTGTCTTTTTGTTAACATCTAAAAGCTTATTGTTTTAAATTACATAGTCTATTCCCATTTATAGCTGATGCTCAAACACAGTTGCAAATAATAGGACTTCTATTCTTTCTAAATTTTTATTTCTCAAAATCTTTTAGCCATTCTCCTGTCAGCTCTCATTTTCCTTACCTATTGTTAGTACAGATGGTCCCTAACTTATGATGGTTTGACTTACGATTTTTCTACTATAGGAGAAAAGTGATATGCATTGAGTAGAAACCTTACTTTGAGTACTCATACATACAGCCATTCTGTTGTTCACTTCCAGTACAGTATTTAATAAATTACATGAAATATTCAACACTTAATTATAAAATAGGTTTTGTGTTAGAAAATGTTGCCCAACTGTAGGCTAATGTTAGTGTTCTGAGCATGTTTAAGGTAGGTCGGGCTGAGCTATGATATTTGGTAGGGATGCAGGGCAGGCAAGCCCCAGAGTGGGGTTTGGCCCATGAGGGTTCTTGGCTTTGCCCAGGAAATGATTCAAGGGCAAACTGGAGGTGGAAGAAAACAGCTTTATTGAAGAGACAATGTTACAGCTCAGTGACTGCTCCTGCAGAGCAGGGCTGCCCCACAGGCAGAGTAGCAGCTCAGGACAGTTTTGCACTCATATTTATAACTACTTTTAATTACATGTAGATGAAAGGGCAGTTTATGCAGAAATTTCTAGGGAAAGGGTAGTAATTTTTGGGTCATTGGGTCATTGCCATGGAAAGGGGCAATAAAGCCTGAGTGTTGTCATGGCAACAGTAAACTGACATGGCACACTGGTGGGCGTGTCTTATGGAAAGCATCTTCTGCCCTGGCTCTGTTTTAGCTGGTCCTCAGTTTGGTCCGGTGTCCAAGCCCTGGCTCTGGAGTCATGTCTGGCTTCCTACCTCAGTAGGTTAGATGTATTGACCTAGAATATTCTCAATTTACAATCAGCTTATTGGGATGTAACCCCATTATAAGTCGAAGAGCATCTGTACTTACTTAGCCTAGAAAACAAATTATAAGTAGCAGACACAGAGTCCTCTATAATTAATTGGCCCAAATCCACACTAGGAATAAGCTCAGAGCAAAACAAATGACGAACTAGCAGGTCCCCTCTCCAGCTTACTAGCACATGAGTTGAAAAATGAGCTCAGTTTGCATTTTTCAGAATATGCCTTTAGTTGGTCCCTATAGGAACTACAATAATATTAGGTCACCGACTTCCAGTAATTAGAACTGTGTTGTCCAATAGAAACTTCTGAAATGTTCTGTATCTGTGCTAAGACAGCACCCACTAACCACATGTAGCTATTGAGCTAGTGTGATTGAAGAAACGAAAATTTAATTTTATTTACTTTTAATTAATTTTAATTTAAATAGCTGCATGTGACTGGTGGCTACTATATTAGTGCAGAATTGGAGATCTTACTACACAGCCACGATATACCTCATGGATAGATGCTTCTACTTTGGGCCAGTATCTTTCTCCAACCAGATTATGCTTAGAAATATTCTACCTTTTTTTCTACAGATCACTGGCCTCAGATTCTTAATGTTTAATCAGCTAGAAATTGCATAGCTTTCCTCATGTTTCATCTATGGCCTGCTTCCCTACCCCATCCCCACCCCCTATACATATACTCCATTCACACCTGTGGCCACTTACTGCCAAGCCTTTTGAAGGAAACTTGGGACATAAAAAGTTCCCCAAACCACCAGCAATGCCTCTATGTAAGTTTATCTCCCATTTCTAGCCCACTGTACTCAGGGCCACTGGTATCTCTAGTTTTGAATTGCTTTGATATTTTTGTGTGTGTGCACATAATCTCAAATCTAGCTGATCATTTCAAGAGTCAGTGGAGTGCCAAATGAGGTTGCACACTATAATCTCTCTGTAGATTTAATTCAGACTAAACAGGAGTGAGGTGTTGCTGGAGAGCTTGTCTCATACTGAGCAGGCGGCAGGGTCCACGTCAGCTCTAAGCATCCCCCCATATCCCAACCACTAGACTGATGAGCATCCCTTTGGGAAGCCCCACCTGCAAGGATGGGATGTTCAGAAGAAAGCTATTTTCTTTTACAGGAAAATGATAAGACCACTGATAAACGTTCAGGGGGAGCATTCAGCTTTTCAGTGCTGGTCCCGGGCTGGCCTCTATCTGGGTCAAGTCCTGTCCCTGGTACAGTATGCCCACAGCCAGGAGCACTCATGGACTGGCCCCTGGGAAACAGAAGAAAGAGCTCTCCTTAGGGCAGAGTGAGCAGGCTCCCTGTGGGATGGACCTTCTCGCTGGAAACTCTGGAGGCTAACTCTGGAGGGCTAATGGATCAGAGCTGTTCATTCCTCGCTGTGACATATGGTCCTGAGGCAAATCCCATCCCTTCTAATTTCTGTACAGCCAGTCAGGGGCCTTACATTGTTATTCTCTCTCTCTTTCTCTCTCTGTCTCTCTTTCTCTCTAATAGAATCATACATTAATAAGATTGATTATAACTTTTTTCGAGACAGCATTTCATTCTATCCAGGCTGGAGTGCAGTGGCATGATCATAGAGCTCACTGTAATCTTGAACTCCCAGGCTCAAGGGACCCTCCCACCTCCACCTCCTAAGTAGCTGGGACTACAGGCACTCACCACTGCACCCAGCTAATTTTTTATTTTTAGTACAGACAGGGTTTTGACATGTTGCCCGGGCTGGTTTTGAACTGCTGGGCTAAAGTGATCCTCCCAACTTGGCCTCCCAAAGTGCTGGGATTACAGGTGTGAACCACCATACCTGGCTAATTATAACACTTTGAAAGTACTGGTCCCTTAGGTCAAAATGACAACTAGAGCCAGAGCACATAGTTTATTAAAATCATTCAGCTGAAGAGGCAGAAAAAAACCTTTGAATAATTTTGTCTTGTGTCTTGAGAGAACCTCTAGTCACTAACATCTTTTCCAATAAATTCAGTTAGCAAGGGAGTTGTGGAGAGAGGGACAGATGATGATGATGATAATTACTCTCATTCAGAAAATTGCTCTGCTCTTGTAAATCTGGGATGCTTTCCTTGGAGGCACAGCTATGTAGATAATGGCCAGCCCTTATTCACTGCTCCTCAGGCCGGGTTTCCTGGTCCTCAGAGGGGGTTCCAGAGGAGTGTTGCAAATCAGAATAATTCCTAACCTTTAACAAACTATCAACTCCACCTGCACACTTCATGCCAAGAATTTACACTGGTAAATCACAGCACTCTTACAGATCGTGAGAATACAGGGGCTTAGAGTGAGCCTACCTGACCTGCGCTGTCTAGTCAGACAGGTGGCCTGCCTGTCAACCTCTATGACTGCCTAACAGATGCAGTAAGATAAAGGCCTAGACAGCTTCCCAGTCAGGAGGTGTCCAAAGGACAGGGCAACCATGAGGTCTAGTCTAAATTGTGAGTTCCGAAAAATGATCAAAGAAGCTGGTGTTATGTGTAAGCAGGTAGAAGTTATGCAGTTCAGTGAAACTAGTCAGTGCTGGAGGATTTGACTTTGATATAATGAAATCAAACCAAGAAGAATTAATGAGAGAGAAAGAGAATGAGAGAGAGACAGAACCAGACCCACCAATGGAAGGAATCCCTTTCCTCTTGCTTAAATATGAAAAAGCAAGGAAACAGGAAATCTCCAAAGAGAGGGTATGTCTGACACCTTATTCCATGATTTTTAATTTATTCTTTCACCTAAAATCTCCCAGATAGTCATACTGGGTAAGACTGCGGCCAGAATCTTCAAACTTTGTTATTCCTATAACTGTTGTGTTATACTGAGTTGAAATTGAGTTGGGAGGTTGTGGGAGGAGAGAAGAGAACATTTCTCTAACAATTTATTAAATAAAAAGTAATTTTCTCACTCTTTAAGACATAGCAGATAAATAGGCACACTACCATAAGTGCTAATAAATAGGCTTCCCTTTCATAGATGCTAATCATTATATGGTAGGGAAGTTTGAAGAATTACATTAGTAGGATAGAGTGAGATTTTTCTAGAGAGAGAAAAGTGATGAAAGAGCAGGGGGCAGAGTTAAAAACAACAAAATCCAACACCACCAGCGCCACAAATAAGTAGCAACAGACAAGAGTGGCTGGTGTCAAGGAAGAGATTGGAATCCTGAGAATGTGCTTTTTAGGACAATGGAGACTCAAACTCCAGCACACAGGCCCACCCACAATGAGGCAAAAACTCCCAGCTTGGAAACTGGCCTCTGCGAGTTCCGTGGAGGTCATACAAGCCCAAGCTAGGTCAGCACCAGGCTCCAGGTGTGTTCCAGGTGTACTGACCCGCAGCAGAGGGCCTGTCTGGGGACGAGTCACACTCACCACCACAGCGGGACGCACAGCACTCCCGGCACCGTCAGCGCCAGCAGCAGCATCCGCCAGTCTCTGATGAAGTAAGCAAACAGTGGCAGCAGCATATAGCCAACTGCAAAAAATGTGCACACTCCTAATGTAGAGAATATAATACGAACTGACTTGCCAAGAATTTCTGTTCCTGTTCAAAACAAGGGAGGAGTATTAGCATATTATCTCACTTTAATATTTGCTTTTTATATCATTATGTGGCAGTTAGAATTCAAACTATCACCAATTAGAAAAGGGGAAAGGTATTTGCCTCGTTGCCCAGAGCAGGCATGGTCAGGGTAGAGGAAGGTGGGAAGTGATCCAAGACTTGGCAACTTATAGAAGGCTGAATTTCCATGAGATTTTAACGGAGCCATAGATTTATTTATTTTTAATTTATTATTATTATTATTATTATTATTATTATTTTGAGACAAAATCTCCCTCTGTTGCCCGAGCTGCAGTGCAGTGGCGTGATCTCAGCTCACTGCAACCTCTGCCTCCCAAGCTCAAGTGACCTTCCCACTTCGGTCTTCCGAATAGCTGGGACTACAGGCACACACCACCAGGCCTGGCTAATTTTTGTATTTTTAGTAGAGAAGGGGTTTCGCCATGTTGGCCAGGCTGGTCTCGAACTCCTGACCTCAAGTGATCCACCTGCCTTGGCCTCCCAAAATGTTGGGATTACAGGCGTGAGCCACCATCCCTGGCCAATTTATTTTAAGGCCATTCCATGTCATAAAAATATGCCCAGCCCCAAGAGCTAATCCCTTCTGAGAATGCCACATTTCCAAAATAAGAGCCCCAACATGAGAAGCAGAGAGAACGTTTCAGGAGACAAACAGTGGCTCTTCTGAGGGGCCATGTGGGGTCACGGTGTGTGTAGCCTTTCCAACAGTTCTGAACTGTAAATAAACAGACATTGGCCCATCAGGAAGCAGTGGAGAGTTCACCGTTTCCAAGACCTCAGGACACACTTACCCATGCCTGAGCCCTGAGAAATCAGTTGGAGTGAGCTGGCTCTTGAGGTGCACAGACAGGCCTTCAGCACCCAGGGCTGAATTCCCTGCAGCCATGCTGTGCCCAGAGATCAGCCCAGGCAGACACAGTCCATTTGGACCAAGGAAAGAAAAGCAGGAGCTGTTCTGCCGCCCCTGCAGGCAGCAGCCCTAGACCTGGCCACACACTCATTGAACTCCACAGAGCTTTCCCTGAACAGCAGAAAGGCCCATGACTGCTTGGTGCAGGCACTGCTTTTTGGGAAAAGACATGCAGGCGACTGTTGGCCTCTGCTCAGTGCCACAGTGGATCACTCGGCACCAGATGGGAGTCCAAGAACAAAGCTCCTTCTCTTGTCACGGAGCTCCGGGCCCTTTCCAGAGTCTGCCCTTGGTTCTCTACACCTAGGGCGGAGATTTGACCAATGGCAATGGCTCTGCCTTTTGTTGGGGATCTGCCCACACTACAGAATAGTGACCCGGAAGATACAAAACAGATAATTCAAAGGTCATTCATGCTTGCCTTTCAAGAGAGATTTTCTCAATCATGTTTATATGTTCTAGGCACAGGCAAAGGGATTAAGAGCTCATTCCAGAGAAGCAGCAAAATTACTACATTGGCTGGTTTCTCATTTTATCACCTACCTGTTCCCATCCCACCCCACTCATTCTCCCTCACTGTTCATAATTGAGAGATCTGCCTTAGTGGGTCCCTCTCGAGAGGCCATTTAAAAACCCGGACTGACAGAAACAGCCAGTACTTCGTGCCTCCTGCGTCCCATGTTGGAGACAATTGTCCTAACCACCCAGAGCATTGCTCAGCCTATAAACCCATTTCCAAGGATAGGGCTTGACTTCTTTGAGGATCATGAGTATGATTTCCAGGTCTTTTCTGACCTCATTAATGACCTTCCTGCTATGCACTGGTTTCTAAACCCTTTGGCTGTGATTATGATGTGGAAATAAATAGAGGGTGCTTTATTCCTAAGCAGAGATTCAGAAGTGAAGCAGCAGAGGGTTTGATTTTGGAAAAGAGAGAGTGTGCAGGATCAAGTGAGAATCTTGCAGAATTGTGAGGCCAGAGGAGCTTTATCCTACCTTCATGACCTTGTTAAGAAAAGAGAAGTTACACTACTGGGTTCCTGGATAATTTCCCTCTCTAAGCGTGAGTCTCAGACCAGAACAGTTATATAACTTTGCAGAGTGCGTGTTGGGGACAGAGACTTTATGGGTCTCTCTCTTTGCCTTCCTGTGGACAGCATGGATGGTACAAATTGAAACAATTCCTTTTTAGCCCTACTTTCTGCTCTCTGACTTTTAGGCAGTCACCTTTCCTTAAACAGGATCACCATCTTCACAGCTAGCATTTTTTTGAGTAGATACTTTGAGACAGGTTCCAGGCTAAGTGTTTACATATATTATCTCTTTGACCCTTCACACCAGTTATATAAAAACTAATATTCCAGGCAAGGCACAGTGGCTTATGCCTGTAATCCCAGCACTTTGGGAGGCCGAGGTAGGCAGATCACCTGAGGTCAGGAGTTCGAAACCAGCCTGACCAATACGATGAAACCCGTCTCTACTAAGTAAACAAAAATTAGCCAGGCATGGTGGCATGGGCCTGTAATCCCAGCTACTCGGGAGGCTGAGACAGGATAATCACTTGAACCCAGGAGGCAGAGGTTGCAGTGAGCCGAGATCATGCCACTGCACTCCAGCCTGGGCAACAAGAGCAAAACTCCATCTCAAACAAAAACAAAAATAAAAACTAATGTTCCTCCTACTTTACACATAATTAGCTGAGACTTCAGAGTTAAAGCCAGTTGCCTAAATTCATGCACATAATAAGTGGTGTACCAGGATTCAAGCCTTATTTGCTCTATGGATACTGGTCTACCTTCCAAAAAAAAAAAAAATTACTGGGGGCATGACTTGGCCTTATAACGCAGTTCTTCAACTGAGATTCCAATAGAGACATGAGGGGAGATGGGTAAGGCCATATCCTGATTTCACTTTTACAATTTTCTTTTTTTTCTTTCTTTTTTTTTTTTTTTTTTTTGAGATAGACTTGTGCTCTGTCGCGTAGGCCAGAGTACAGTGGTGCAATCTCAGCTCACTATAACCTCTGCCTCCTGGGTTCAAGCGATTTTCCTGCCTCAGCCTCCCAAGTAGCTGAGACTACAGGCGCTTGCCATCATGCCTGGCTAATTTTTGTATTTTTAGTAGAGATGGGGTTTTGCCATATTGGCCAGGCTGGTCTTGAACTCCTGACCTCAGCTGATCCACCCACCTTATCCCCCTTTCAGAAGTAGAGTTGCATTTTCCCTTCCTGGGCTTGTCACTGGAGGCCAGCCAGCCCCCTCTGAGGAATGCTAGGAGAGAAGCCTGATTACACAGATCTTTCATGGCCTGCCGCTGCCACGAGCTTTCCATGTGGCAGTGAAACAGATGACAGTGGTGACTCCTGCTGTGCTGACTGGGGATCCCTGTCCTGGTCCCCTGTGCTCTGTCTGCCTCTTCTGTCTGCTTTGCTTCTAGGGCAAAGCCTGGTTGGTCTTGGTCTGGCTGGGCCTCTGAGTTTCTCCTGGGAGTGAAACATTGACATCTAAGCCAAAGGGACATGACCTGGCTAGGATGAGGGCCAGGATAGCCTTAGGAGTATTGCCCACCACCTGTCACACCCATCTGAATCTGAGCACTCTCTCCAAGAGGGGGTGACTTAGAGAGGGCCAGGCTCCCTTCCATGTAGAGCAGTACCTGCCCCAGGAACTGCCGGGCCCATTCCACACAGAGGCAGGACATGCATCTTCATAAATGACCAACATAGGCTCTAAGTAGACCCCAGCTCAAGAAATGAGACTGTAGTGCAGCTGCTAGGATATGAGGTCAGAGCCAGGAACCCTGGGCTAGGAGTGTCCTCCATCTGGCAAGGGGAGAGCCTGGGTTCCTTGATGCTAAGTTGCTACTAGAGTGACTGTGATAAACCCTCCTTCGTGGAGATATTATTATGAAGACTGAGACCATGTATGTAAAGTGCCTAGGAGGGTGTCTGGCATGTGGCAGGTGCTCAGTAATAATTATTCTTTACCCTGGTCAAGCAGTTGAAATGTGCTGCATGTCAGAGGAATGATGGAAAGTACAATGCCTTTGATGCAAAAAGGCCCAGTGAAGACAGTAGAACCCCTCTTCAAGGCTTAACAGATGTTCGCCTGCTCAGGGCTTCCCCTCTCTCTACACCAATCACTCTAGTCAAAAGTAACATTTCCTATCTCTGTGTATATCCAGTAATATGTGCCCCACTCCCTTGACCCATGTCCCCATGTCCACAGTGACAGCTGCATTGGCTGCAGAGGCACAACCAGGCAGTGAGCTCCTTGTGAATAGACAGGCGTGAGTTCTTGCTCTTCCCTGGGTCCCCCCAGTTCTTCCCTCTCATGGTGCAATGCAAATAAGGTATGCCAGCAAATTTCTGCATCATGTTCATGGATTTATATGCCAGCTCATCCCTTGGAAATTTTGAGGCAACTTCAAATTTAAATACAATAAAATAATGATAACATTAAAGTAAGATATAAAGAAAAGTAAAAAGTTGTGCCTTGCTGAAAAGAACAAAAATATGCAGCTATTTTGAAAACAGTTTGGCAGTTCCTCAAAAGGTTAAATATAGAATCAGCATAGGGCCTAGCAGAGGTCCTACCTTATACCCAAGAGAATTAAAAACATATATCCACTAGGCCGGGCGCGGTGGCTCAAGCCTGTAATCCCAGCACTTTGGGAGGCCGAGACGGGCGGATCACGAGGTCAGGAGATCAAGACCATCCTGGCTAACACGGTTAAACCCCGTCTCTACTAAAAATACAAAAAAAATTAGCCGGGCGAGATGGCGGGCGCCTGTAATCCCAGCTACTCGGGAGGCTGAGGCAGAAGAATGGCGTGAACCTGGGAGGCAGAGCTTGCAGTGAGCTGAGATCCGGCCACTGCAATCCAGCCTGGGCAACAGAGCAAGACTCCGCCTCAAAAAAACAAAAAAACAAAAAACATATATCCACAAAAATACTTATTCTCCAATGTTCATAGCATTATTCGTAACAGCCCCAAAGTAGAAACACCCAGATGTTCAATGACTGATGAATGGATGACCAAAATGTGTTGTCTTCATCCAGTGGAATACTAATTCATGCTACAACATGGATCAACCTTGAAAACAAGTGAATTCAGTCACAAAGGCCACATAATATATGATTCTGTTTATATCAAATGTGCGGAATAGGGAAATCCATTAAAGGCAGAATGTAAATTAGTGGTTGCCAGGGGCATGAGGAAGAGGGAAATGATTGCTAATTCGTATAGGGTTTCTTTTCAGGGTGATGAGGAGTTAGATAGTGTTGCTGGCTGTACAACGTTGTGAATATACTAAAAAACACTGAATTATACACTTTAAAAGTGTGAATATCATGGTATGCAAATCTGTCATGGACTGAATGTTTGTGTCCCTCCATTATTCATACATTGATCCCCTGACCTGGTAGGATATAGGATTAGTGTCCTTACAAGAAGAGACACCAGAGAGTGAGCTCTCTATGGCTTGCTCTCTCTTGCTTTCCCTCTCTCTGAGCACTTGCGCAGAAGAAAGACTTAGAGAGAAGGCAGCCATCTGCAACCCAACAGGAGAACCCTCACCAGACACTAACCCTGCTGGCACTTTGATCTTGGACTTCTACCCTCCACAGCTGTGGGAAATAAATTTCGGTTGTTTAAACCACCCAGTCTACAGGATTTTGTTATGGCATCCCAAACAGGCTAAGACAAAATTATATTTCAACTTTTCAATTTAAAAACAGTAAAAATATATATATATATGGCTGATAAAAGCTGCATCATTGATGTAGTTACGTTTCAAATTTGCCCGAGCTTCCTGGTAGCCAGAGTTGTGAAGGAAGATGCCATCACTCACACACCTATCAAAAGGGGGAACCTCTAGACGTCAGAGGAAGCAAAGCTTTAAATGGTTCAGCATGCCCAAAGACCTGTCACATGGGAGGTTGATGTTAGAAGTACTGAAAAATACTGAATTAATGAATCAGTCAGGACAGGAGGTAATTAACTTTTTGTGTTTAAGCAGCTAGTTATGGGGGATAAGAGAGGCTACTGATGGTATTCTACCCAGAAGGCCGTTGACAGGTGGAGGGCATTATTTCTGGGCAACAGTAGGAGATTGTGAGGGGAGCTGCAGCGTGGGTAGGTTAGTGTCCTTGGTCCCGAGTGGTCATTTCCGCCTAAACCAGCATCATTCCGGCAACACCATCACGTCTAGGCATGTCTGCTTTATGCTATGTTGGGTAGCGCTGTTCTGTCTTTCTCTTTTCTAGCTATGACTCTGGCAGCCTTGATCATTTTTAAAAAGCAGCACAAAACAAGGACTCATTTCTGCACTGCTTTGACAGTGGGAGGAATTTGGCTTCCCAAGTTAATGTGAAATTATCCTGCAGGGTTTTGCCAACCCTTCCTTAGGGCCAGAGGGCGGAAGCTAAGGCACTTACCAAACTCCTCAGCCCAGACCACACCCTTTGGTTTATTTTAGTCAAATACAACCTGGAATTAAGCTATTTTATCTCAGAAACACCAGAGAGCGCTGCTGCACTGTAGGGAAGCTAGCAGCCACTTTGTCTTTGTACTGTGTCCCCCAACCCCAGACGCTGACTGAGGTGTCCAGCCATTCCACAGCAGGCTGGTTTTTGGGGACAGTTAAACTTTCAGACCTGAGAACCCAACACAGTGAGTCTCATACCAGGACACAAAAGTCAGCAATTTCTTGCAGAGCACAATGGAGTAAAACTATCACCGGAGAGGCTCCCATAGCACCCTACAACAGGCCTGGCCCCAGGCTGATAGCAAGCCCTCAGAGGCCTGGATCCCGGCTAATAGCGAGGCTGCTGCACCCAGGGTCTTACGTACTGAATGCTGGCTTGACTGATCTTCCATGGCCTTACTTTCCCCTTGGCCCTCTTACCCTTCTTCACCCTGCATGTGGGACCACACGCTGCATGGGGAGCTGGGAGGAGAGTAGATGATAGTGTCAGAGCCAGGGGGCAGCCCTTTCCTGTAGGAAACCTGGGGTATGCTCTCCCTGCCTCACCCACTCACATAGGGGAGGCTTGGAGGCCCCAGAAGCACAGTGTGCCACCAAAAAGGCAGATCTCAATGCTGCCCATTCTATAGAACCGGGGATGCCACCACCTGGCACAAATCCCACCTTGTTCCCATTCCCACGGAGAGAGCTTCTCTGGCTTCACCGTGACTCTCTGCCCTTTTGTTCTAGATGGTCCTTCAGGTCCTCCTGGGATATCGGCCTGCTGGTCACAGTCTTCTGTTTTGGGGAGGCCTGTTTGGTTTTTGGTATGTGTCTGGCCCAAGCAGAGCCACATGTTGGGTTTTTCAGGCTTAGGGAGGATCATCACACGGAAGATGGATTCTGGGGACTTTGAACATGAAGACAATAGGCTTTGCCTTGTGTTCTTGGAGCCACTGGGGACTAGGAGGTTGTAATTTCTGTCCTAAGATCCTCCAACCTCCAGTTTCCAACAACACTGGCCTGAAGCTCCCTGTGCCCTCTACACAAAAGATCTTCAAGAAAATCTTACCCAGCTCCTTCCCCCTGCAGGAAGGGGAGCAGCCTCCTCCCGCTGGAGCCTGCTGAAGAGTGTGCTATCTGCTGGGACCATGTGGCTCCAGCATGTTCTTCCCACCTTCTCTCCTCCCTCCTCCCCTCTGCAGACACTGAGGCTGAGCCCATGGCACGGGGCTCTTTGCAAATAATTAAGGGAGTAGAGTTGGAATATTTCCATTCTGGCAACTTGACAGAAGGTATACACACCATCAGTTAAGACAGCACAGCATCTCCAAAGCCAATGAGTCCTTCAGACTCTTAAGAAGCAATCAGAGTCACCTAACCAGATTCGGACTTTTGAGGCAAGAAGAATCATTAGACTTCTATTAAAGGAGTATTAATAATGATGCTGTGACAATAGGGACAAATTGGGATGGTATTGAGCCACCTAGAATATATTATCACCCTAGAGATGATAGGAACTGGTGTCTACTATCCCAGAGATACCCCTCACCTCTGCTTCTCTCATTTGCCCATTCGCTGGGCTCAGAGAACACACTCTCTCACTCCTGTGGATGACCCTCATCAACTTGCTTGGAGCTCACCTAACTCCCTCCCAGGAAAAGCTGCTGAGGGCCCCAGGGACCGCCTCATGACCTTGTAGCTGATGAGTCTTCCTCATGCAGCCTGACAGCAGATGGGGCTACTATCAGTGCAGGGAGGCTTGTCCTGTGCTTAGCTGATAGACTCTGGGATGGGCTCTGACTTAGGGTGAGGCCAGATCGGCCCAGTGATGGCGGGCTGGCACTGAACTCCCCCTGTCTGCATGAGCCTCCCCACCTGTGTACTGGCCACAGTGACTACCCTAAGTCCCTTCACAGGCAACCAGGAAGAAGTCTCAAGCCTATACAACTCAGATCAAAGACATCCTCAGGCTGCCCTTCCCCTAAAATGTCCTCCTCTGTGCCTCTCTTAAGCCCTGTGCTCCTGAGAATGTGTCTCAGCTGTTGTGCAGCTGGTTCTTAATGGCTCCAGCTCTTCCTCACCATATTTCAGGGCTCAGCACAGAGGTGGCTCCCTGTGAGTGCCTGCCTTGCCCCTGACTTGCTCCAAGAGCTCCCTCCCAACACACATATATCCAAAGGCTTTGGAAGCACAGCCCAATGGCCCAATGACTTCCTCTTTCTGGGCCTTTCAGAGGGTTGGAGGGAAGTACCCCGTGTCCCAGAAGCCATTCCTACCTAGTATGAAGGCTACCACATAGTTGGAGATCTGGCCCATGCCCACGATGAGAAATAACACAGTGAACATCTCCCAGCTGTTGGAGAAAATCTGCAGGAAGCTGAAGCCAGTCTGTACAGCCATGGTTGCGAAGAGAACGTTCTTCCTGCCAAACCTAGAGAATGCAGTATAACCAAAAACATGAGATGTATAGGTTGCCAAGGTGTGTTGCAAGCCCTGAGTCAGGCATCAATGCAGACTTAGTGTTTTTTCAGGACTCTGGCAGACTTTTTTCCCTGTCACACCCTCCCATCTTCCTCCTTGGTGAGGTCTCAGGCATCTGTCTGCTCAGGAGATAGCTTTTGAGATTCTCAGCGTCCTGTGGAGTCACCATGCCTCAAAAGCACGGAGCAGCATACGCAAGGACCATGTGGAAATATGCTCTTTAGAAGGAGCCACAGATAGACGCTACCAGCACATTTCTGGAAAGTGGGTACAGCACAGATTGCAGATATTTCTTGAATCAGCAACATGAAAATTCTGTAAATCCAGAACTAAGAGTCACTCTGCAAGTGGTTTTTAACCTTGGCTGCACTTGAAATCACCTGGAGAGCTTGGAAAAAATACTGATGCCAGCACCCCACCTCCCAGGATTTTAGGATACAGTTTGGGTATTAGGATTTTGGAGTTTCCCAGATGAGTAGCACACAACCAAAATTGCAAACCACTGCTCTGTGGGAAGGTGTAGCTTTCAGCAATGTCTTTCAGTGACACTGAAGTTGGTTTAAGTGTTACCTTCACATTCTGGTAGTGATCAGTGGGTAGAATGGAGCACAGGTGTGAGCAAAACAGCTTTTCCTGCCCCATTTTCCAAACTCAGGTCTTTGGCTGTTGGCTTGGGCTGGGAAGCTTTCCCCAACACTGCTATTTAGCACCCCCAACTTCCTGCACTGGCCACCACAGCACATCCAGGGGCCTGTGGAACACTGTCTCCCGGGGCTGTGATGTTGCCTCCTCAGGCCCTGTAAGCTCTATGAGGCCCAGAGCCAGCGTCAGCTCTGTGGTCTCAGTGTCCAGACAGGGTCCAAGCCATAGCAGCAGTGTGTGCACAACTGGGGCTCACTGTCTGGCTGCTGGCTGTTTGCAGACAGATCCTGTGCCATCCTCCCCTGCCCCTGAGGTGGTGGTGGAGCAGGGAGGGCAGTGGTGATGGCAGAGTCATGTTTTGTCAAGGAGTCTGTGGTATGAGGACCCCACTTTCCAGTGAGGTCAGTGGCCCCTCCCCACCACTGGCCAAAGCCCTGGGAGTATGAGGCTGAGGGAATAAACAAAAGTGTGTCCAAGTGAAGGGGACTGAGGGCAGGGTGAATAGGAGACATCAGGGCTACTCCTATCACTGAATTAGTGGCCTGAGGGTCCTCCCTTTCTCTGGGTAGAAATACCCTGAATTCAGTCCAACCCCAAGATAGGCAGTGATCGACAAGGGGCACCATCCCACCTTCCTCCCCTCCCATGTCCTTACCTGTCTGACAGTTGCCCGGAAACGAAGGAGCCGAGGAGCACTCCTACGAAGAACAGGGAGGTGGTGAGGGGCACCTTCCAGTTGTCCTCACACACCAGATTCCACTGCCAAGGAAGACAGCACGAAGCGTGAGCCCAGCCCCAAGGCAGACCTCAACCCCAGCCCAGCTCCGAGGGAATGTTAGTACGGCTGCCAGGCAGACTCTCCTCCCCTGTGCCAGGATATTGCCTTCGTGCAAAGAGCATAGGCCTTGCAGCCCTGGGTTTGACTGGCCTGTGCTGGGACTGTGGTGAGTAACATGGGGCAGGTCACTGCCCTCCCTGAAACTCAGTATCCTCTTCGGAAAGGGAGGGTGATGCTCCTACTCTGCTCGTGTTACATAGCAAGAAGCCAGCCGAGGCCACGGCTGTGACTGGTGACCCCTCAGCTGTGAGGCAGTCCAAAGTAAAGGTGGCACTGCATCTTCAGAAGCCAGCCTAGTGCAGAGGGGAGGTGTTTGAAAAGCCCGAAGGGCAGGGCAGAGGGCACGGCCACTTAGTCCAGGAGTAAAATTTATTTTCCCTTGTTGAAAAGTGCAAGTTGTTCCAGGAGCTCTGTGACTTTATTTTCTGAGCAGACCCCTCCAAAAAATCATGTGGTCCCTGGTCCACTCATGCCTAAGGCAAGCTTGTGACCTAATTCAGGGCCCCATCATGCTGGGGCCTACTTATTCCTCTCCAGGGCTCCCTGGCTTCCCCTCTACATCCCTACACCCTCCTTCCCATCCGGCCTTTCCAGAAGTATGGTCCCTCCCATTCCCTAGGGCCTGTGGGCTGCCGCTGCCCTAACAAGTCCCTGCCAGTGCATCTACAAAATGAGAGTTTCAGTCAGAGTTTCAGTTTGACTTAAGTCAATTAAGCAAAATCAAGGGAGGTGACAAACATTTCAAAGTGTGTTTAGTGACCTTTCATTTATTAATAAATAAATAAATAAACAGATGCCAATGAGCACTTCGGGCTTGGGTTCTGGGGGCTGCTGTCTGTGGCAAGATGATCCAGTCTGGGGGAAAGACCCCTGCCTCCCAGCCAGCCCTAGTTCCATCTTGGGTGGGGCTGCTTTTATAGCGTTCGCCAAACAATTCCTTCTGAATCCTCATAACTCCCTTGAAAGTGTGGATTTAAGCACAAACTCACATATTTATATCACACCTCATTCTGCAGCAGACAGAGGTGTTTATAAAGACAGATACAAGAGAAAAATGTAAAACAAAAAGCTAAGGGAATTGGGGCAAATGGAAAATAAAGAGGGGGGAAGTTGTAAAAACCAAGCCTGGGGTAAGACTGACCCTAGATTATCCTGTCCACGGGCCTGCCTGCTTGCCAGACGGGGCTCCAAAACTGGCTCTGTGTATCCCAGCAGCTCAGTTCTCAGAAGAGTTACAGTATCTGAAGTAGTTCACTTATTCACAGAAGCACAGTTGTAAAGAATACTGAGATCCGAAAGAAGTCTCTCCTATGTACTTCTTCCACAAAGGAACCACTCTGTGATGCTGAGGATAATGTCCTCGAGAATAGCCCTGTCCTAGAGACAATAGCAGGATTCATGAGGCCGCCTCTCACAGGGCTCACAATGCTGGCCACGGGCAACGCCCAACACAGCTCTGCAGAAGAAAAATAAGTTGGGCCAGGAACTCAGCACTCTGCCATTCAGGCACAATCCAAGGATAAATCTGAGACTGTACCCAGAGTAGGATTGCCTCACCTGGGGCTCCTGCATGGGCTTCAGGAGAAAGGGAAATGAATCCTCTAAAACTGTATAGCCAGATTAATGTGTTCTGCCAGTGCATAGACCAGAAGTGGTAAACAAGACGTGTGCCTGCATTCGTGGCCATCTACCGCCAAAAATAACTGTCCAAAGTTTCATTTAAAAGCTTGGGATCTGCTTCTGACTTAGAGAGATGAGCAGTTGAGGCCCCAAAGCCTCATGATGTGGTGTGACCCATTTTGCAGAAGATTAAACTGAGACTGTGAGAATGGGATTTGTCTGAAGTCACAGCAAGTAAATCAGCATGATAGATACCTCTTTAGGCCTCAGAACCCAATCTTGTACCAGTGTCCTGCTTGGACCTATACTCTCTAAGGCAGGACAAAATGAGCTTATTAAATATGATGCCCTACACTTCTTCAAAGAATGTGACACCAGGAGACAATTACCCAGGACTAGGAGTAGAAGGCCTCCATCACAGCCTTTGGCCTTGGACAGAGCCAAGAAGAACTCAAGATTGGTAGAGGTATTAACATGCCAACCATCATCATTCCATCTGCAGTTAAGCAGAAAAGCTCTTTCAAATATAATGTGCTCTCCTTTGTCGTTTTTCAAATATTTCTCTGTCTGGACTTTGCCTTAGGGCAGGATAGATAGGATTTAGAGACAGAAAGGAAAGGAGGGCTGTTAGATGTGGAGCCAGGCATTGCATGAGCAAAGGGTGGGACTGGGAACTGACTACTTAATTTGCAAGGTCCAGGGCAAACTGAAAATGCGGAACTCCTTGGTCAAAAATTATTAAGAATTTCAATACAGCAATGGCAAAGCACTGAAACCAAGTGTGGGGCTCTGTGTGACTGCACAGTTGCATGCCCATGAAGCTGGCCCTGGTAGGGGGTCAAACCCGTTCTCCAGGAAATGAAGCAGAGGCAGGAGTTCTGAATGGGGACACTGGGAAGAGGGGTGAGGTGAGGGCCAGCTCCCATCATTCTCCTTCCTGTAGGCTCTGCACTGATGGCTTTCAATCCCATTCCCTCCCTGAAGAGGGGCCCAAGAAGCCCTGTTAGCATCATGCAGCACAGGAAGAGCCATGCACACGCAGTGGCCGTTTGCCCCAAGCCCATGCAGGGTGCTATCTGCCTTTGGAGACCCTGCTTACAACCAGCAGGGGAAGGCAGCTAGACTGCATGGCTGCCCATGGTTGACTCTAGGGCAGGGCTCTCCTTTGGGAAGTTATGGTGCCAAAAGTGTCTTTTTGGAAAGCTGTGTGGGGCCTGGTATTAGGACACAGGATTGGCAGACGAAGTTCTACCTGGAGCAAAGGGCTAGAGTCCAGTAAATCAGCTGCCAGTCCTAAGAGGGGCCCTTTAGAAAGGGCTTTTCTTGGAAACCAGGCCCTGCTTGCCCCTGGGCCCTTCAGATTTGAGGGATATGTCTTGGGTCCCCACTAGCCAGGGCCACAAAACCTCCCTGTGGTTAACAGTGACATGGTGGGCCCAGTGGGAGACAGTGTCTTCCTTGATGGGACAGAACTGTCCCTGTGGGTCCCTGCACAAGTTTGTACATACATGCACACACACACATACATACACGTGACCAGCGCAGAGGCTAATGGTGGATGTCCTGGTGAGCAACTGGCTGGCATTGCTTTGGGGCTGTGCTTTCAAGTCAAACCCTAACATTTCTGAAACATAGTTTACCTCCCCTCTCTCTGTCCCTCTGATGGGGCCTCCCAGGGTTACTATGTCTGTCCCATCAGCAGGGTCCCAGACCAAGTTTCTCACAACAGAGCAGAGTAAGCTCCATGTAACTGGGCCACGTGGCCTTTAGCTCTAATTTAAGAAACAAAAATCCAGGGGACAAGGTAATAGGGGATGGGAGGTCACTCTTGGCATAGAGGGATGTGCCACCTCCATGCCTCCCTGTAGTAAAGGGAGTAATGGGAAAGACAATAACAGTGTGTGGAGTGCTCACTGAGTGCCATGTATTATCTCAGAGGATCTCAGGGTTGCCATGTGAGATGGGTACTCTTTTTATCCTCGTTTTACAAATGAGGAAATGAAGGCACAGAGCAATAAAGCGACCAGCCCAAGTTCTCCTAGTGAATTGGTAAAAAAAAAAAAAAAAAAAAGCTTAATCATTGATTCAACTGACATTGAGCACCTGCTCCAGGCCAGGCCCTGTGTGGGGCACAAGAAAGACAAGGTCCCGGCCCTCACAAAGCTCAAGGTCAAGCATACTTTACAGGACAGATGTGCACATGTGCATGCATGAGACCAGCAGCCCTGGGTGGAGTGGGCCCTGTTCTGGACCACTTCACCCTTGCTCTTTGACTACAGAGGAAAGAGGTACCCCCTCCTCACCACCCTCCAGCAAAAGGACAGAGTTCTAAAACCTGAATAATCTGTATAATCATATTTTAGATGACTTGTGTTTGCATAGTGCTAGGCACGCAGTGGGTGCTTAGCAAATTGTTGAATGAATATTGAACAATTAATTAGGAGTCATAGAAAATCAGCCTGGAAAATGTGGTTCTTGGGCTGAGGAGTATCACACATTGCACTTGGAAAATCACCCTCAGCCTTGAACTAACTCTCCAAGTAGCCGAAGTCCGACAGTTTTAGTTTTTACCAGAGCTATAAAGGACCATAAAGATAAGTGAACCCCATCTGCCCTGCACGGAACTGAGAACGCTGGAAGGTGGACTGGTGCTCAGCAAAGAACACAGGCTTTCTCGGGGTCTGCAACTTTGGACTGTGTGATGTTGGGCAATCCATTCATCTCTATTAGTCTGCTTCTTCACCTTCAAAAAGATGACAATAATACCTGCTCCTGGGTTTGCTGTGTGCATTGGATGGGAAATGTCAGTGGGGCGTCAGACACATTACAGGCCTCATTAAATGGTAGTTCCCCTTCTACCAGCCTCATACTAGTAGAGCATTTTATTTGTGCTGAGCAAAATCATGACTTGGAACACATGGGTGAATAAGCAAAGCAGGTTACACTTAAATCTGACTAAGAGAAAGAAATTCGAAGAAATAAAAATTATTCCAGCCCATTACTAAAAGCTAGAAAAGCTCTTGTAAAAGGGATTTTATGAATGGAATTCAATCCCAGAGATGACTGTAAGTGAAAAATTAGCAATGGTCCTTTTAAGGATTAAAAAATTGATTTCTATGGTATCCTCTCATAGTTATCCTTTATTCCAGAGAAAAGTAAGAAGTAGTAGTTAATAATGGACTACACATCCACCCCAGTTCTATCTTTGTCACTTGATTTTGACTTAAAGCTGGGAATTCCTTGACCATCTGAAAAAACAAAACAAAGGGAAAAAAAAAAACAAACCTGGTTAGTTAATTAC